TCCCTTCTACGTGACTTCACCGAAAGAACCTTAGAATACGCCTTGTCAGTCTTCTGTCGTCGTGACCGCCACCTTCCTCCTCGGTGTCGATATCTATTTTGCGTGTGGCCCAATCAACGTTGGTTCCAACCATATAGCGGCCAACGACGTTGGACCCAACGTTGGAACGTTTGACTGGGGCACGTGCTGATGATGCGTGGCGAAGTTACAGTACGACATCGTGGGCAGTAGAGGGCGGTGCGGCAAAATCCATTGATGTCTTGCAACCCACCGTCGTCTTGACCGGCGTGGTGAGATATGCCCAAGAGACCCGTGTGGCGTGGGGGGGTGGGGGGGAGACACGCTTATCCAGCAGTGGACGGACAAACGTATTGCACACGTGCCAGCAGCAATGTTGTTTCGCACGCCCGAACCCTGCTGACGAGGCCCAGAAAGGCGAAATATCTGCTTCGCGTCCGACTGCGGAACGATTATGGGATCCCTGGTAAAGGCGCGGCCCTGAAATTGCTCGGCACGCGCCAATCGCTGCTGGTGGAAGGGCCTCAGCTAGGAGGGAATTAGAGAGCTGAGGTCCTTCCGCTGTACGGAGGGGCACTTGGCCTGCTCTTCCACGATGTCCAGAAGTCGATGATAGAGGTTGGATTAATCACACGTTTAGGCCGATGGACTTTAATACAAACATTTGTTTAAAAAAAAAGTGGAAATACAGAAGTGAAGGCAACAGCATTAAATACCCCGGGCTACGCCGTTCCGTACCGCAGCGAGGTTATTCATTTTGGTCCGGATCAGTCATGCGGTCCACGCGTGGAATCACGGTCGACGCAAGCCCAGAATTGAGATGAATTATAGCGAGAGATAGAAATCTGCGGAAGCCTCCTTCCTTTTGGGACCGGGCAGGAAGGCGTCCGACACACAGAGAGAGAGCACGCTGTTTATAGTTACTACCTTAGCCTACCGGTGCGTTGGGAGGGTTAATCCACGTTTACAATTTGAGTACAGTGACGTTTCGCTAGTAAATTACATCCAGCATCATACGGAGATGTGCAAGACTATTCTGGAGAAATCGGCGGCTGATGCTGGATGTAATTACCAGCGGAACGTCGTACTCACAATTGTAAAATGATGTGGATTTACTCTCCAGCACACCGGGTGGGCTGAAGTAGTGACTAATTGCCGCGTTTTGTTTGCGTGACAAACTTTTACCGGCTGTGTCGGAGGATTACGACGCATTTCTATTTTAGCGATCAAATCAAAAATCATTTTACGTTGAATATTGGTCGTGAAAGCCTTCCTACGTGTTAAAGAGAGAACGACGTTCCCCAAGGTGTAGATGGAGGGATCAAATAAAAGAGTTCGTGTGTAGGAGCTCGGGTGGATCGTGAAAGGTGACACGGCGGCTTGGAGAGTCCTTCATCCAGCAGTGGATTGGCCATGGCTGATCAAGAACAAGGGAGGCACGCCATGCCCAAAGAATTGTGCTAATGCCCCTGACATGCACGCCATGCCCAAAGAATTGTGCTAATGCCCCTGACATTTACACACGTACCTGTGCATCAAGTAATTGATTTAAATCCATTATCAATCTAGCGATGACTATTCTGAATCGAGGGTGTGCGAATGTTTTCTTGATTAGTACCAAACATTAAAAAAATTGAACGATCACGACCCATTCCAGCCACTAGAGGGCGCTATATTCACAATACGACACGTCGCTATATTCACAATACGACACGTACCTGTGCTCACTGTGACCAAACAACTTATTGGATTAACATAGATCGTACAAGACGGCCATGGATTCCTTTTTTTTATCCTGATTTAAAATGTTTATCACATGAAGTGGAGCTGTTGTGCAGATATTTGTTGCCTCTGTATATAAGCCAATGACATTCATGATTAGGAGAAAACATGAAACTGTGTTGAGAGGTTTCCACCACCCCCACCCCACCCCCCAAGTATTAACCAAATTTTATGTTTTGATAAAACATTTAGCAAAAGTGACCGGGCACGAAAATATTTTAATAATTTGACAGCTGACCACGTGGAGCGTAAAACCCTGTAACCCTGGCAGCCATGCGGCTGCCGCGGATTTCTCATCTCTGCTTGAGCTGTTGCTTGGGGTGGGGTGGTGGTGGAATTTGTGGTCACATGAAATGTTGCGACACCGCGAACACGGCTCGTGTGTATGTGTGTGCGCGCGCGCGTTCCTTTGTCTTTGTGTTGTGAGCGAGCTTTATGGGGCAATGGGTCTAGCGCGTCGTGCTTTTGAGACCCCGGCTTAACCGAGTTCGATTTCCGCTCACGGCCAACATCAGTGGCGAAGATCCGAACCGGTTCCTGGGCATCGCGGAGGTCGTCTCGCGTCGGTTGGACGACCTCATGCGGCGTTTAAAAAAAAACATTGGCACTGTGGATACAAAGGCAGCCGCGGCCTTCATCAGGCGCTCGCCGAGACCAACTTTGCCCAAACAGCCCATGTGGAATTAAAGGGCGATCCTTAGCTTTGTTTGTAGGCGCGAGTGCCTTGGCTGGTGTTGCGCGTTTTCTTTGTGCGCAACGTCGCCTATTCATACGCGTGTGTGTTTGTACGTATGCGTTGTGCATTGTGCGAGTTTGCTTTTAATGTGCACGATACGAACCCGGTGACCTGTGTTTGACGACCGCCGAGGCGGTCGGGCGTGGGGCTGACCAACCCCAACCCGCTCGTGCCAGCGGCCCCTCAATAGGTGCTCGCTAACTGCGGCCAATACTGTCGTTGGAAATTGAATTTGCCGAAGCAGGTGAGAATTCGAGCGAGACCAGGAAAGTCTCCTTCGCAAGAGTGACCTGGGGCTATTGGTCTTCATGTAAGTGGGGGAGGGGGGGGGGTTATTGCTGCTGTAATACCAAGCGAGTACCGGACTGTATGTATCCACAAGGCTCACTAGGAAGGCGCCCTCCGTGCCCTTGCGTGTGTGATCTCGGTAATAGTTTACCATTGCAGACAAAAAAAACGATCTTTCATGCTTCAGTTCAGTCTGAAAACGCCAGATGTCAGAAGCTTTGCTGGCTTTTTTTGTTATTTAAAGCGTGGTTAGTTACTCCGATGGCGAGACTGCCTGGGAATACCAGATGCTATAAGGCTTTGTGTGAAGCAATGCGTTTTTGATGGCATCAAATCGTGTGGGTGATAATTTTAAGCCGCCAAACGGAGCGAAAAATCTACAACGGGCAAAATAATGCAAACGAGACGGTAAAAAAACGAGTCAACAACAATCAATGATATTTTATCTCGTGTATGGCAGCAATATGTTCAAGAACAAGATGCCAATGTCGAGGTCTGCTAGCCATGACGAGAGGGCTTCAGGAGAGGTCATGTAGGTTTGCTATTCCTCCTCCGTAGGAGCTCAGGTTTCAGTGGTTTACGATATGGTCCATAGATTCGGTTGCATATGGCCACAATCGCAATAATTGATGACTGAATGTAATGCAGCCTCTAAATCGCGAAGAATCATGGAATCGTTAAATGCCATTAAAAAAATTCCATTAATACTCACCGAGCAACTGTGTCCCGGGTTGTCCGTCACCAGTCTGAAGCATTATCAATTCTACAAGGAGGCTTTCGAATGTCACTGCCCGTACACGTTCGTGTAAAGCCGTGCAGCGACAGTCGGCAACGCACTACGATGGAGACTCCAGAAACAGGGCGATAACCATAAGCTTTACTCAGGAAAGCCTCGCAGTCTCAATACTTATTTCAAGAGGGTCGCAGGCTACATCCAGATGTTTGGCCAATTCAATTGACGCGAGTGCTTGGCTTCGTGCGGTAGGAAACTGGGAGAAACCCTGGAAGAAGAAGAAAAAACCCACCCACACATTACGATGGGGCGACGAAGCGTGTTCCGCACGGGTGGATGCAGTAATCCACGGCTGCACGGCCATCTCCTGGCTACTTTGCAGCCAAAAACCCGCAACGCCTGCGATCTCCCAGATAGTGACTGTCCCGTCCAAGCACTAGAGATGACATCGGCCAGATCTGGGTGACGTGGGTCGTTGGTCGAGTGGAGCTGCCAGAGTCGCTTCTCATCGTTGTCCTTTAATGTCGAGATAAGACGATGGCATTGGCGACGATGAAATGCTGCGTCCAGAAACTGGTGACCGTTGTTGCGACGTGCAGTAGCTCTGAATTCTTCATCGGTAAGATTGCAGAGGGGTGGGGGGGTTTGGTCAGGTCACAATCATAGATGCCCCCTTCTAACCACAACGCTTATTAAACGTGCAGACAAAAACATAGAACGAGCCCCTTTCACGTAGAGTGAGATTAAAGTCGACCTATGCATGTAGACATACACGACATGTCGACTGAAGTTTCACTTCCGAAAAGGGGTATAACAAAAAAAATAAGCATAGAGAGAGGGTAGAGGCACATGCTTGGAGTATCTCGCTGAGAGACGAGAAAGAGGAACAACAGGCATTAGATAACGAAACGCACGTTAGGTCACTTTCTCGACTCCGACGAAAAATGGTTTTGGGTCACAAGACACGTTTAGGGGACCGTGGCAGTGGTCGTGAGCACCGAGCAGATGCAGTTACAAAATCGTCTCGTCTGCAGGCGGATCATCGACAGCACCGTGGGAGATGGTGACGGCTTGTAGAAGCGCCTTCATCCAGCAGCGGATACAACACGGCCGATGGAAGTTTGGTCGAGACAAACACATCAAGCTCGTTGCGCAGGAGGAGCAGCTTAAGACTGGACTTTCGCATCGCAGGATCTCGAGATGGCGACGACGTGGTGGGGGGGGGGGGAGGATGCCTCTTCGTCTAGCGGTAGATAGACCATGGTGGATGATACAGGAGGTCCGGTCGACAAACACTAAAGGAAAAAAATACCCCACTCCGCACGTGAAAAAAGCCCAGTGGCTTGAGACAGGTCACGGCACACGTGTCAACATGTCACGCACAGCTATAGTAACACGAGGGCTGACACGGCACAACAGACGCACACACAGAAAGCGGCACGCTGAATTCGAGCTCCCAAGCCGGTTTAGACCGGTTTGACCCAAGTCCTTTATTTGCATTTTAGACATCTTTACACCACTCAAAACGGCATAAATCTCCACCGGTTACTGAGCGTGAAAATTACACCGATTAACTCATTAGCCTAACCGGAATGCGTAAATGATAAGCTCGATTAACGATACAATACATTTGTTCATTCTCATCTTGAGATCAACAAATATACACATTCAATACCACCGTTGTTTTGACGTCACCTACTCGCACTGGCCGGCGTGGTGAAGTATGGTTAAAACAACCCCTCGCGAACAGCACCGGCGTTGGGAAGGGCCCTCATCCAGCAGTGGATCGGCATGTTACTGTATACGGTTTTTTTAAACACAAAAGTAAATTACGATGACAAACACGACGAGCTAGAGAGATGGCTGGTGATGCTGTATGCGGCATGTCGAGACGGGGTTACCTCCACAAGCACGGCAAAAGCCTCCCAGGCCACCAGCGTGGTGAAGTATAGAGGTGGTGCTACGTCTCACCATGCGCTGTCTCACGTCACTGCTTCTGGATCAGCCTGCGGCATGGCACAGCCAGACAGAAAAAAAATATATCCCCCTCCCCTCCCCCGCTGTGGCTCCCCACACGCCCTGCGACTCCCTCCTTAGCCCGCTGTGGCTCACTACAGGCGCTGTGGCTCTCTCCCTCCCCCGCTGTGGCTCCCTCCCTGTTGTGGCTCCCTCCCCGTTGTGGCTCTCTCCCTCCCCCGCTGTGGCTCCCCACACGCCCTGCGACTCCCTCCTTAGCCCGCTGTGGCTCCATACACGCGCTGTGGCTCACTCCCTCCCCCGCTGTGGCTCCCTCCCCGCTGTGGCTCACCCCCTCCCCGCTGTGGCTCACCCCCTCCACCGCTGTGGCTCCTTACCCGCGCTTTGGCTCCCTACCCGCGCTGTGGCTGACCCCTTCCCCCGCTGTGGCTCTCTCCCTCCCCCCGTTGTGGCTCACCCCCTTCCCCGCTGTGGCGCCCTCCCCGCTGTGGCTCTCTCCCTCCCCGCTGTGGCTCTCTCCCTCCCCGTTGTGGCTCTCTCCCTCCCCGCTGTGGTTCACTCTCCTGCCATGGCTCACTCCCTCCCGCTCCGTCTCTCCCCCACTATGGCTCGCTCCCTCCGGCTCCCCCGCCCCCACGGCTCCCTCCCTTCCCCCACCATGGCTCACTTCCTGCATCCATCCCTTCCCCCACCATGGCTCACTGCCAGCCAACGAAACCTCCCTTCCCTGACTCACCCCGTGTCTACGTTTCGTCTCACTGTACATGTCCACACTCCAACATGTTCCGTTTACACAGGAAAGTCTCACCCCCCCGACTCTCGATACTTTTTTAAAAGGTTCCTGGCCACATTTTCGCAGAAGGGGGGGCGCCGATTGCTACGTAGATACAGATTTAATAAGTTTGCGGTAATTTTTTCATGTTTAGCGAATTTAGACCATGCTGCCGGCACGTCGTGGCCTACCCTTGCGAACGGCGTAACTTGATCCATAACATTTACTTTGAAGATGCAGTGCTTAATCTCTGCCGTTAAAGAGTCTGGGTGTTATTCTGGCACGCCACGTACATCTCGCCTTTGTTCTAAACCTGTGAGTATGATTATAAGAGCACAGAGTACAATAACATGGTAGGCGTACTTGCGTAACCTTGTACTCTCGTGGTAGTGCCTTACGCTGACTATCCAAAAACTCCAAGCGTCCCAGAAAATATCAAAGTCCTGTACAATATACATGTACCTTTGTCCATCCACTGCTGGATGAGGGCCTCCCCTCCACGCCCGTGCGTGATGTGGGGGGAAATGTTGACCATACTTCACCACGCTGGTGACTGAAGTGTGCCTCTTCCGAAAGTTCAACCAAGCAATCCACCAGCGCGCATCAAACAAATCCATCCCCTGGCCAATCTGGACGGAGACTCGGCGACTTAAAGGCAAAAAGAGAACCACGGTAGTTGTTTAGGCAGGCAGGGCATATCTAGTTCTTGAGCGCAATAGAAGCACAGTACAATGGATGGGGATTCGTCTTCCGCCAATGCAACCCCACACTCGAACACCAACCCAGCCTCTCCCCCCACAAACTCCTGCCACCCACCCCCTAACACTGTACACGAGATGACTGGGCGCATTCCGGCAAAAGGATTCTGAGTTCCTTATTCCAAAAGCCATTCTCCATTTCCCCCTTGTCAAACCCACCCCCCCTCCACTCACAATGCTCCCCATCCCCCGCTTAGCCTAAACCATCTTGTTCCCAGCCATAGCCCCATCATACATTCCTCCATCTCTCTCTATCCCCGCGACTCTCAAACACGAAGCTGAACCCCCCCCCCCCCAGGTAAGAATGATGATCTTTACGCAACGTCATCCGTCGTGGAGGAACAAGCTCTTCGACGCTGCAACATGTTCAGCGAGTTAGAGAAGCACAACACGAATTGGCAACGTCAATCGCGGAGAAACAACAGCCACGGTGACAGATAACGCGAACGCGTTAAAAAGCCATGCAACTAATACGGTGAAAACTGGATTTAAAAAAATATATATTTAAAAAAAAACACCATCACACACCACCAATTTCGGCCGGACGAATAAAATCCTGCTCCCTTCTCCACTCCCCTGCTCCCTCTCTCTCTCCTAACCTCATCAACCTATTCCACGGCTCCCTCCCTCGGCCCCCGGTCTCCACCCTTCTCCCATACCCCTCGCTGCTCCCCCTCTCCTCTTCCCCTCCCCCACAGAGAGAGGGGGGTGGGGGTGCCTCCTCCTCCTCTATCACCTCCTCCTCTATCGCCTCCTCTCTCTCCCCTGACGCAATCTCGCTCGGTGCTGTCGTCAGCCTCTGCTTATGCGCGGTGGTCATGGACCACAGCTTTTGGGGGGGGGGGTGTACACCGGAGGCTGAGTGGTTCAGACAAGGGGGCCCTCCCCACCTCGCCAAGACCCCACCACCACCAGCCCCGACTCTTTCACCCTCTCGTGTCTTCTTCCCCAGTAACAGCCAATTCGATTATATTGGGGCGGTCACAAAAAACACTAGACCGTCCGCCTTTGTGTTTGTCCTTTTCCCCAAATTCCACGTGAAGATTGTCCACATTTCAGCTTCTGTAAACGGTAGTTCGAAGACGTAACGGAGAGATTAATAACAAATCTGACGCCACTTAAGGAAAAAAAAAACAACCCCGTCAAAATGGACTTTGGGCCTGATGGGATGCTGACCGTCGAAGTGAAATCCGGTGACGGAATGCCAGCGGAGAGGAGAGCGCGTCAAAGAGGCCCTCCGAGCACGGAGATGGAGCGGTGAAATGCGCCAAGACGGGACGGTGCCAGCGACTGCGGGACCCGCGAGCGACGGTGTTTCGGGAGAAGAGACATTTCATCCGGCGGTAGAGAGTGGGGCCGATTTTTACAACGATGGACGAGGGGACATTCAACAAACCACTGGCGTGGTCACGATTGTCAACGAGGCATCTGTCCCGGGTGCGACAGAGGCGATGGGGCTTGGGAACAAAGTCGACTGGGGCTGTGGTTCGTGATGGAAACCGAGAATAACCATCGCCTCCCCCCCCACACCACCACCATCATCTTCTTCATCATCATCATCAGCAAGCCTGCAGTGGAGGCGAATTCATTAGATTCATAGACGAGTCATATCTAAAAGTTACACACACACAGTCACACACGTTATACACACCTGGCACAGTGAAGGCTTATATATTTGCACACAATCACAACCTCCTCGCAGTTATAGCCATCACCCCCCCCCCCCCCCCCAGGTCAGCCTTAGTCACACACCGACTCACTTACAGTCACCGCCTTAAACAACACTTTGTCTATAACACAAAGACGAGGGACAGATGCACTGCCACGCACGAGTTTTAACATCACACACACGCACACTGGTACGGGTGACGGACTCGTAACGCTTAAAACAGTCTCAACACAACCAAGGCGAATACTTCTTAACACGTGCAAGCCACCTCTTCCTCGCACAACTCACCCATCTAGGGCATTGGTTAAACTGGACACGGCGCTACGTTGGCAGGCACACAGATTATTGTTGTTGTTGTCGTCGTCCTGGTTATGCAATACGACCTCTTTTTTGTGCAGCAGTGAACCTGTGCGCGCAAAACTGTTGCGGTGATACAGAACACGACGAGTGAACAGCAACAGCAGAGCGTCGAGGAGATGTGTGCAAGGGGGTTTTAATTATCAGCTGGAGCACACACGGTGGGAAGATACGCACGGAGACATTCACGGACGCACGGGCAGTGACAAGAGGCGTGGACACGTGGCGACGGGTCACACAGACACACGATAAGACTGACAAAGGCACTGATAACAATGTAGATCCACAGCAGACAACATTAACACACATGGTAGAAGTGAGATATAGAAAGTACACGACGTACAACATAGACATTGAAAGACTTACAAGGAACACTTGCATAGATTGCCTTATATGGAGTGAGGGCAAGTGCTGCTATTGAGCACCTATTAAGGCAGTACACACAAGAGCGTACAGGCATAAAAATACACAAGGCACTCGGACATGTAGTCACCCAACGAACCTTACGGACACACACACATGCAGACACACAGCCAAATCGATAGACATTCGCACAGAAAACCCATACACACAGACACGCGATTAGACAAAGATGCACACATAGAAACGGACACAAGACACAGCCATGCACAATCATACGCAAACACAAAAACACAACACGGACCATCTAAGCTCGCAGTCGGTGACCTCCATAAATTATCTTCTCGTCGACCCCCTTGCCCAAGGGGGTGGGACGTGGCGTGTTGGGGGTCTTGGTCTCCGACAGCCGGGGTCCTGGAGGCAAGGGGACCTGCCAAGTCCAGGAGGAGTCTGGGGACAAGAAAACCAAGTGGGGGGTCAAGGAATCAAGGGGACCCTCCCCCAGGACGCAGCGGCTTTTGGCCGATCTCCCGAAATGAGGATAATGCAGTTCCAATACTGTATTGTTACTACTATTATATAGGCTGTATGAGATGTCAAAAGTGTGCAGCTTAGGAATAGTGGAGTTAATGCCACGCGTGCAGCTTTTTAAGATTGTGGCGTTGCAAGTGCGTGCAGCTAAATAAGCAGGCTATGCTGAATCCATCTGTATCCGTTTGTGTCAAAAGTGCAGTCGTAAAAGGACAGTATATACTGGTAGTGTACAAATGTGCAGCTATAGGATGTACTGTATTTTAAAAACAATGTGCATCTGTAGACCGGGTGCAATGTCAACGCGCAGTTATATTGTGGTGTCTGCAAGCTACAGACGTGCGCGCGTGTCAATTTCGCAGCCAAGAAAATTGTGCCCAAGCGCATCTCCAGCCAGTGGCTTCGTGCAGCTTTGTGGCGTCAAAGTGTGCCCGGCTGCGACGGCGAATGAGAGAGGGAAAAAAACCCCGCGGCGACCAGTTTACGAGTCCCAATTGTGCTGCAGAACGTATCGCCATCTGTGCTGCTATGCGTTTAGGTGTCCGTCCAGCGTGCAAAGCAAGCTACGCTACCTACCTACACAGCGTCAAAATGCGCAATCTCCAGCAGCGTCTAATGTCGCTGCAGTCAAGCGTGCAAGGTATGAACTTGCGGTGTGCGTCAAGTGTGTGCAGCGAGAAGATTGCGGAGTTGCGAATGTGTAGAAGATGTGGCGGTGTATTTTAAAGAGTGCAGCTATCGAATATGCTGTGTGGTGGCTGCACCGACCCCCCCCCCTCCACCCTACCACCACCCTCCGCCGGCAAAGCCAAGCCGCAATGTGAGGCATGAGCTCGCTGCACTTGCCAAGAGGGCAACGCCTTACTCATCATCACTGGAAGCTTCCATGCGTCTCGCCGCCTCTTCTTCTTCGTGTCAAGTTCTCTCCACAAACACCGGGGCCCCCTCTCCTCCTCTCGCTCTTTTTAACCGGCTGTATAGCTACAAAAAATTCTCAAAAAAAAACAACGGCGGCAAGCATCGGCAACGAGAAAATAAAACAAAAAATCCTGTTTGTCTGGCGACCGAGGTTTTGGAATGCGATGTTGTTGGTGATGGTGGTTGTTGGGTGATGTGGAGGACAACAAAAAAAAACAACTCCAACAACGCCATTCCTCATCCCTGCTCCTCCTCGTGTGCCAAGTCGCACACTCTGGGGGCGACCATCCATACGAAATCTTTGACGAGAGAATGAGGCATCTTCTTCGTATTGTGGCGGTGAATGGTGAGCGGAGAAGCTCAGAAGGAAGAGGACATCTCGACCGCGCAAGGCTGCCTGCACCGGTGTAGAGGACAGCTGCTTTACATGCAATGCAACCACCCACAGCCGCCGCCCTTCCCCTTCAGCTCTTCTCCCTCCTGGTTGTTGTTGTTGCCGCTTGGTTGGTGGTGGTGGCGGCGGTGGTTTTGTTGTTGCTATTGAGCCAACATCACCCGCCGCTTCTGGAGTAAAAGTGGGTGGACGTTAACGTTGGGTGGATGAGAAATGTTTAACGAATTTCTCGTCGAGAGGAAGAAGGGGGGGGAGGTGGGAGGGTGGGAGGAGGGAATGAATGAGGGAAGGAAGGAATGAGGGAGGGAAGGAATGAGGGAGGAGCACGGCAGCCATGCCCTGTCTTGGATACCGACGAGAGAAGAGGGAATGCGCGGAGCCATGGAGGGAGGCAAATCTTGTCAGCTGTGGGGGAAGATGGCACAATGGCGCCCGGTGAAGGGAGGTGGTGGTGGTGATGGTGGTGCTCAAGTGGCGTGGCGCAGTGGAAATTTTCTCGAGGATTCCTTTTGGTGGGGGTGGAAAAAAAACGATTCGCAGCTGGATTCGTGGCTTAATTTTTTTTGTTTCGTTATTTTTCATCACGAGGTAAAGCCAAGTGAAATTCAACGTTGGATATTTTTTTTTCTCTCTGCGGGGGTGGATATTTAGCATCGCGTTTGTTGGTGGAAAGCTGTTAAATATTTTGCAATTTAAAGAAATGTTATATGTAAGCAAAAAGCGAGTGTGTTACAACGGTGGACATCTGGAATATCATGGAAAACCACTCCAGTAACACCGTAACGTAAACATTTACTGATTTGATGTTAAAGATGTTTAATTCTATGGCTTGAAAAAGAATAACGTGCTGTGTGCTATCTATGAAAGCCATAATACGCAAATGTTGAAATGGTGGCGTGTACATTTGTTTGCCTTGTCCTTTTACCTGTGATCCACAAGCTTCTGTGGACAAGAACCGCCACGAACTCCACGCTTCGTGGAGAAAAAAAGATCCCAGCAGGATGGATATGACGGAAGAGAATGTGGGGATGGTCCTAGTGAAAACAAATCCCTTAATTTTTCAGCAAATGAAGCCACCATCCCAGCTTCCCATGGATTTAATTCTACGTTGTTTACATCCAGGCGTTCGTGGTCGAAGATGTGGTGGGATTTTAGAAGGGTGTTTCTTTAAAAAAAAGAACCATTTAAAACTGTCGGTACATTGATTGGTGTCGAAGTGACCAGGGCGCCTTGGACAGATGGGTCCGCTTCGCAAATCCTGCCCGGTTCCTCGGGACCATTCTAAACGTTGGTCCAGCGATGTAAGCCACAAACGTCGTGGCTTTATGGCATAACTCAAGATAATTTTGAGTTTAAAAAGGATCTAGTTTGGCTTTTTAGATGTCATTCGCTTCATCCAGCCGGGTTCGTGGTTCACACTGCCGTTCAATGCAAGAATGCCTCGTTCCATAACATTTCATATTCGTTAATCGGATGCAGTTTAAACTTAAAAAAATGCGTTGTGTACAAAACATTACGTCAATGTTAACTCATCACGAACCGTAATTCAATTTAAAAAAATTAACTGCATGATCCAACAACCCTGTGTACAAGGCAAGTGCTGCTTACAATTCATGCATGCCACTTTAAATATAACAAAGAGCACTTACTAAAAAAACACAACACGTATATTTTCAAGCTCATGAGTGCAAATGGCAGAAAAAATATTAATCCTGTCACAGCCGGGTAATGGCTTTTATATTTCTTCCCACCAAAAGGCTGTCATTCCTCAAAGCTTCTGAGGCCATCTCAACATGGTGGTCAAGCCAAGCTCCATTTTAGTTCAAGGGAAAGCGTTTGTTTTCGCCGGCCAATATCTCGCTCCATCGGCCGCCACGCCGTCGATGTTCCGCGACGAAACGGCTCATGACTTCCCGCTCTTCCGGTTGACGATGTTAGTAGGCGACGAGGAGGCTGCGATGGCGGAGGATGCCGACGGATTTAACTGAAGACGACCACGACGATGTTGTTGCAGATAGGCAACGATGGCGGCCGCGCCACTGCTCCCTCCCACCCGCCCGGTCGTTGCTTTTATACGAGCTCGGTTGGCGCCAGTCGCAGTTTCGCCCGCGAGCAGATTCGTCCATGTGGGTCACGTTAACACCATGTGAAAAGTTTTTAGTTTTAAGAAAAAAAATACGACTAAAGTTTCCGTCCGCATGTTGTGGACAACCGATGGGGTTTTTTTTCTAAGTTGCATTTAATTGGATGCGGCGATCAGTTAAGGTTCTCGAGCATTTCAGAAGCTTTTGGCCATTCTGAATACATTGCATATGCTAGATAATGTTTGAGTGTTACGTGGATAAGATAGGCTCAGTATTTGTAAAGAGCTCGAAGGTTTCCGAATGAAACGTGGCATTAAAGCGTTGTAAATGTAACAAAGTAAAAAAAAACCCGATATGGCGATTGGTGCCAAACGTGCAGGATGGAAAAGGATGTAACTTCGAAGTTTGGAATAGAACGGAGAGCAATGGTTGGAGGGATGCCAATTTGTCGACTTTAGAAACAACTTAGGGGAAAGCCAGCAGACGGAAAGGATGGTGAGTTGTGGTGGCATCAGCATTAGTCACGTTTACCTCTTGACCTTGAAATAATGTTTTAGGCGTGTCGATCTTTGGAAACCTTAAAGGTTGGAAGCTGCTCATGGGACAGCTAATTGCGGCGTTTGAGAGGCGAGATTTATGCGTAAATGGGGGCCCAACTAATCGACCACGAACGTAGTTCATTGCAGATTTTAGTTGGTGAATCTACTCATTGTGCACAGCTCAAATGCAACAAAACGAAACACATTCGTTAATAACACCGCCTTAAAAAAAGAAAACGTTTATAATGAACATAGTTTTGGGCAATGCACATTCACAGCACCTCCGATTAGCACGGTTGGCAACGTACGGTGAGAAAGAAGTTCAGCATCTCTTCGGCTTCTGTGTTGTGAAGAAGTGCCATTGCCCGAAACGTCGTCGGTTGTATTTCGTTTAATATATTTCTGTATTTAAGGCCGCGGTTTTATTGACGAAATGCGTTGATTGTTGTTAACTGTGTTTGTTGCACTTTTGCTCACACAGCAGCAGCAAATGATGCAATTTTCAGGACAGTTCTGATCGTGGTGAGCAGCTACAAAATTGGACTCTCTCTGGTCTGACACTGGTGGTGAGACCAGGACCTAAAGAAGGCTGTCTCTGGTGTAGGCCAATCAGTTTCAAAGACACTGCATATATTATTAGTTTTTTTTGCATGTTCACCACAAGGACGTGTGGTGAATGCGAACTTGGATTCCTTGATAAACGATTCTATTTGGTATGTGGACATCTTAACACATCCTGTTTTATTGCCAGAAAGGGTAAAAACAATTGTTATTCACACTTTTGATACTGGCAAAAGGGTCCCATTTTGTAGCTGCTTTACCCCGACCTATAAATGCTCTGATAGTGCATTGTCTTTGTACTGTTCGCCTTTTTAGCGTGCTCTGGTTTGACACTGGTGAGACTAGGCCCAAAAAAAGTCTGTCTCTCTGGTGTAGGTCAATCAATTTCATAAGACAATTCCATATATTATCAGATCATGTTTGCTTGAATGTTCACCACAAGTACCGCGTATGATTATTGCGAACTTGATTCCTGGATAAAAAAAAAGTTTATATTTGGTGTTTGAACAACTTGAACACCTGTTTTATTGCCAGAAAGGGTAAAACCTATTCTTAAATTTTCACAGTTCTGATCGTTTTTGCACTGTGAATTAAGGTGGCGGAGTTTGTGTTGTTTGACCTTGTGCATCGGTACCAACAGTTGACCCCCTCTCTCATTGGCATCTCATACTCAAGTGTGTCAGAAGAAGGTCTACATCTCAATCATTACTTAATACAAAATAAATTCTATTTTTGTTGATTTATTTCTGACAACGATGTGGTGTGTGTGTATATTAGTTTAAGGCCAGGTCGCCCCTGAAATAAATATACTTTTTTTGCCAGTATATTCTCACCTGGTTTTAAATAACAAAAAATTAAAATTGATTTCACAATGCACAAATCATCATAAACCGTGGCCAGTCCAATGTTGGATGAAGGCCTCCCCAACCCTGCGATGTCTTCGACCCCATCACCTATGGGGGCCGTCTTCTCAGACGCGTTGTCGATAAAAAATAAATAAATGCCTTGACTTTAAAGGTACAATGTTTACAAGTTGCGTTATTGGTGAAACATTTATCTAAAGCACCCACGTGGTTTAATGCCAGTCCGTTTTAGCATTCGGACACAAGCGTACTAACAACGAAATAATTATTAACAGCCCTTTGTCAATCCACTGCTGGATGAAAGTCTTCCCACGCCTTGTCGGTGGTGGTGATTTGTTGACCATACTTCACCACACTGGTCAGTATGATGGTCGCTCTGACCAACGAGACAGAACCCCCCCCCCGCCTCATTACACAACTCAGTATTTAAGTCTCTTTGTCACGACTACAATTATTACCAATGACATTATTGTTAGTATCGCAACCTTATGACTTCCAATTCGTACACAAATAAAAACACAACACAAACGTCTGCACGCCCAGGAAGGATGGGGTCACGGAGGGGGCAAGGGGGGGGGGCTCTCGTCAAGTCCACTCAGTATAAGCCAATGGGGGGCGGTGCCGGCAACCCCCCACTCAACAAGGGAGAGGGGCGGGGCTGTCGGGGGGAAAGGGGGGGGGGGCGTTGAGAACCCCACTCATTACAAGCTAATGGAGGGTGGGGGGCTGCGGCGGGGGGCGGCGGGGGGTGGTGGGGGAATGGAGGGGAGGGGGGCGGAGGAGGGGAGGGGGCGGAGGAGGGGAGGGGGGCGGAGGAGGGGAGAGGAGCGGAGGAGGAGGGCGGAGGAGGAAGGGGGGGGGGGCGGAGGAGGGGAGGGGGGCGGAGGAGGAGGGGGGGCGGAGGAGGAGGGGGGCGGAGGAGGAGGAGGGGAGGGGGGCGGAGGAGGAGGGGAGGGGGCGGAGGAGGAGGGGAGGGGGGCGGAGGGGAGGGGGGCGGAGGGGAGGGGGGCGGAGGGGAGGGGGGCGGAGGGGAGGGGGGCGGAGGAGGAGGGGAGGGGGGCGGAGGAGGAGGGGAGGGGGGCGGAGGAGGAGGGGAGGGGGGCGGAGGAGGAGGGGAGGGGGGCGGAGGAGGAGGGGAGGGGGGCGGAGGAGGAGGGGAGGGGGGCGGAGGAGGAGGGGAGGGGGGCGGAGGAGGAGGGGAGGGGGGTGTCCCGGTAGCCCACGCGAATCTGCGCGCGCACGAATCGGCGGCTGGGCCTGGTGGGACGGGACGCGGGGGGCATCCAGCAGCAGCAGCAGCGGCGGCGGCAGCAAACAGCACAGGGGGGAGACGGGAGGCGAGCGAGAGGCAGCGACTCTACCCGCAATATGCGGCCACACGCCTCTTCTCCTGCTGCTCCCGCCGCTTGTGCCGCCGCTGCCAACCCCCTTGCTGCCGCCAGTCGTCTTGCCGCCACGACGGGACTACGCGGCCAGACGTGGGTGCCGTTTTGTGGAAGCTTGATGCTGCTGACGGTGGTGGTGGTGGTGTGAAGAGGGCTTGGTGGTCGGTGGTCTTCTGGCCGCCTCCTCCTACTTCCAGGGTGTCCTCCATCCCCTTTCCTCCTTCTGCTGGGAAGAAGGACAGGGGCCTCCGTCTCCTCTTGCTTCGGTCGGTCATGTCGTCCAGGTCTTCGGGAGAGGCGAGACCCGGACAGCGACCGGCTGTCAGGGTTCACGAGCAGACGGGAGCTGGAGACAAGCGAGCGGTTGCTAGTGAGAGACACAGTCGGACACTGTCATCGGTGGAAGCTTCAGCAACATAATAAGCATCGACAACCGCTTCCTCCTCCTCATCCTCATCATCGTCATCATCATCATCAGTAGCTTCCACATCATTAATCATCAGTCGTGATCGTAGTGATCATGGTCAGGAACTTAATGGGCTCCGTCATCAACTTCATCATAATTACCAACAGCAGCATTTTCAGCATCGGCAACAGAGGCAGGAGCAACTTCATCATCATCATCAGCGGCAACTTCTTCATAATCATCATCATAGTTAACACCAGAAGCTTCATTTTCAGCAGTAAGCGTTTCATCATCATAATCATCCACTTAATCATCATGTCACCATCATCATACCATCATAATTATGAGTCACCAACATTATTTGTGTCATAATACAGTATTTTGTCATCAGGATCGTTGTTGTCCTCTGAGTCTGGCTGCTGATGCTAAAAAGAATTTCAGAGACACAGACTCTTAACACACTCATGTTATTGTATGTACAGTGTTCTCGTACCTGTGTTCATGTGTGAAAAATGTATATATCTGTGTGTGTACTTTGTTAATTGCGTGTGTCATAATGTGGCGTGTTTAGTGTCTGGCACGAGTTTAGTGTGTACACTATTTATTGTGCAGTGTGTGCACACACTGTGTGTACACACAGTGTGTACACACACTGCACAAGAAATAGTGTGTACTATATGCCACTTGAACAATATGCTGCGCGTATTGTGCATGCACAACATACTGTCCAATACACGGTGTATTTTATGATACAATACACTGCTCATTGTACATTAGTATTCACGCAGCACACGTGTGTACCACACACAGTACATACTAATACACTCACACCGTTTGGACTCTTGTCATGTGGACAGTGTTCGTGTGTATTTTGCACACAGTACACGATGTGCACTGTACACGCAACACACGTGTAGACACGCAATGTGCACACGGGCACTGTACGTACTGTATGTCACGTGGACATACACAGACAACACAGACTACTCAACACGTACGCCTATGTGATGTAGTTATTTTGGAAAGTAATCACTTTGTGCGTGTGTGTATTTTGTGTGCTGTATGACGCTTGGGCAACATTTGTGCGTGTTCTATGTACGTACATGCGTGTACACATTTCGTACTGCACACATTTACACAATGTGTACAGATACTCTAAGTACTTTTTTATCACGTGGACATACTCTTTTGTGTATTCACATTCCGTGGGGTACGTACTTTACACGTGTGTACATTCTTGTCATGTGTTTGCAGTGCATCGTGCACTCAGACTGCATGCACTGTCACGTGTTGAAACAATCTACTCGCTACATAGTACACATGTATACCTGTTTGTAGTGTGTTCTACATATATCATACGTTTGTGCGTCCCGCCTGTGAAAGTTTGTACATAGAACACTCATGTGCACAAACTCTTACACTTGTACACATACGATGTGCCCGCACTGTCTGCTACATGCAGTGCAAGTCTCAGAAATATGTACCAGTTTGTACACACTGCACGTGTATACACTGTAGGTGCACATGTGCTACAAAATAGACTTTGTACTCTCCGTCACTTGAAACGGGGAGTGTATTTCGTTTAATGTCTACATAATAGTACATGCGTGTACTGTATGTACACGTGTATATACAATGTATTTACACACTAACAACATAATACATGTACAATGTCTTCATCACTGTATTATATGTGTGTGCATTCTACTTGAAGTACACGTGTGTGTGTGAATGCTGTACACGTTTTGTTTACAGAACACGCGTATTAACACACGTGTACACACTACTTAACACATTTGTACTGCATGGCACGTGTAGAACACGTATTGTGCGTGCAATCCACGCGCAGCACACCTGTTTCAGTACTGTACAGGTGTGTAATACAGCCCACGTGTGGTACAAACTGCGCGCGTGTACGCACGAAGCATACCACAAAGTACACTCATGATGTCCGTCACTTTTACAGGAAGCCCTCTTATAGTGTTTTCTACGCACGGCTACACGTGTGTAAAGTCAACACGTGTGCGCACTGCACACGAGGTTACACGTGCGTGTACGTACTGCCCGTTCGCACACCACCGATACTGCGCGCACTGTAAGCACGCAAGTTCCACGTGTGTGTACAGTAGTACAGTGTACGCGTGCAGCACAGTGTGGTAAGCGTAGCTCTGCAGCGCACGTTGTAAATGTGCCGTATGCAATTCTGCGCACGGTACATTTGCGTGCGACTTAAGCATTTTGGGTACCGTGATATACTGTACGCACTGTACACAATCCAACACATGGCATGGGTATGCGCGTACGCATTGCACTCTGTGCACGTTATACACCAAGTTGTTTATTTGGGGGACGCGCAAACATGTTGGACGTGTATGCGGCTGCAGCCTTCTATGTGTTCGCGCTCACTGGTACGCGCTCGCTCGCTCGTTCGCGTTCCACACGATGCAGTGTTTGGCTGCTGGAGAACGACCCGCGTAGGTTTGTACGATCATGGTCGTAGGGACCCTCCTGGCGTCCTCTCGATGTGTACCAGCAGCGGCGGCGGCGGCAGTAACAATAGCAGCGCTGCTCCTGACGGCGCGAACCTCGCGAAAACCCCCCGCCGCTGTTGCCGCTCCATCTACCACCGTCACTGCTGCCGTCCCTGCTGCTACTGCCACGAACCCTGCTGCTGTTGCAGCTTGCTACTGCTGCCGCTGTTACCGTCCCCGCTGCCGTCCCTGCTGCTGCTGCTGTTACTCTAGCTGCTGTTGCAGCTTGCTACTGCTGCCGTTCCTGCTGCCGTCCCTGCTGCTGCTGTTACTCTAGCTGCTTTTGTAGCTTGCTACTGCTGCCGCTGTTGCCGTTCCTGCTGCCGTCCCTGCTGCTGCTGTTACTCTAGCTGCTGTTGCAGCTTGCCACTGTTGCCGTTCCTGCTGCTGTCCCTGCTGCTGCTGTTACTCTAGCTGCTGTTGCAGCTTGTTACTGCTGCCGCTGCTGCCGTTCCTGCTGCCGTCCCTGCTGCTGCTGTTACTCTAGCTGCTGCTACCTCTGCTGTTGCTACTTCTGCTGCTGATACACCTGCTGCTACTAGCCCCTGCTACTGCTACCTCCACTGCTACTGCTGCTACTGATGCTCCTGGTGCCGATGACCTCTGATATGATACCCCTGGAATTGCTGCTACCTCTGCTGCTGGTGATACCCCCACTGCTGCCCCCTAACACGACTGTTACTCCTGCCGCAGGCTCCATCAACGGGGTGACCCCTGGAGGAGGAAGCGCTGCAGGTGGAGGAGCAAAGAAGCAGCACTGGAGGAGCTACAAGCTGCTGGTGGACCCAGCGCTGAAGAAAGGCCAGCACAAGCTCTATCGATACGATGGGCAGAGCTTCCAACCGCAGGTGACGTGTGTGAGCCTGAGCGAGCGAGCGAGTGAGTGTCTTGGTTGACTGTCTGGGCAAGTGGTGTTAGCGAGTAGCACCCATGAAGGCCGGAAAGCTACGCGTGGGGGTGTGGTTGCCAGCACCATGCCCGACCGCCTTTGTCTCCCACGTGACGATGTTTGCACAACGCACCAGATACTCAATTGAGGCTGAGTCGAACTAGGGGAGGACCGATTTTGGCCATTACCGGGAATCAAACTCGGGTGCTCGCTTACAGCACTTGCCCCAACAGTTTGTTAAGGCAATACGGGGGATCTTTGTATTTGTCTTCATCTGCCTGACTGAGTACGATTGAGTGATTTCTGAATCACTCAGTGTTACATGTTTTATAATTGGTGTGTGACTGTGTGTCAGTGTTTTAGTGAGTGTATGGTTGAATATCTGAATGAGTGTGAGTGTGTCAGTATGTTTGAGTGGCTGAATGACTTGGCGTCATATGTGTGAGAGATGGGAGTGAGTGAGTGTCATTGAGTGTGAGGATGTGTGTTTCTATGTTTGAGTGAATGTCTGGATGACTAAGTGTGTGAATTGGGTGTGTGAATTAGATTGGGTGAGTGAAAGAGTGTGAATGATTGTATGTGTGGGGCTTTGTGTATGATTATGTGTGTGTAACGGTGCGTGGAACGATCCATATGTGTGTGACTGTTTCCGTCAGTATTTGTCACTGTTTATGTGTAACTTTGAGACTTTGAGACTGTGTCTGTGTGCGCGACCGTGTTAAGAGTGAGTGAATGAGTCTGTGAGTTTGAGTGCAAGTTAAAATTAGTTTCTGCGTTTTGGTGTTTGAATGCAACAGTGAGTGTCTAATTTAGTGTGATTGAGTGGGTATATATTTACGTCTGTGAGAGTGTGTTTAAATGCGAGTGAATGAGTGCCTGAGTGTGTGAATGTGTATTAGAGTTAGTGAGAACCTCGAGTGTATGGGTTTGTGAGTGTGTATTTAAGTGTGCGTTTCTTTTTTCTGTGTTCATGGTGCCGGGGAGTGGTGCAACAGTGAACCCAGAAACCTGAGTTTGATACACGGCTAACATCAGTGGCGAGTGGTATCACATCCGCTCCTGGGCCTCCCGCCTAGGTCTACTCAACTTTAACACGAGTACCTGTTACAGTGCGCTTATGCTGCTCCCGAACAGTGTTTTGAGCATTCTCACATCACGTAAACCTTAGAGCTATTCTTTGTGTAATCGGTGATGGGGTGCTGTCTAAAACAGCACCCCAGCCCTCCACCAGGCAAACCACACACAACACCACACCACCAAGAAAAAAACCCGAATCACAACAACTAAACACCACAGCCCCCCCTGTCTGCCCTCCACCCTGGGTTTCACAGCGCACACATATTGGCCTACGGGAGCTCGCGTAGAGCAATAGGGCAATTTCATTGTCCCTTTGAGCTCCTTCCCCCGACAGCGCACTAATTGAAGCCGTTTCACCTGCGAGTGTTTTCACCGCAGCCTCGCCGTGTCCCGATCCTTCGCTGGCTCTCCCCCCTTTGCTATGCCCCCTACCTGTGCCACGACTTTGCCCTGACCCCTCGCCACCGCCATGCCCTCCACCACCACCCTCCACCCGTGTATCTTACAGAATCCCGGGCTACCGCCCGTCACGTCCGTGCATGACCCACGCGCTTCCCGGCGATGGACGCGAATCGTGGAGGCCGAGTTGCCACTGCCCAAGTTCAAGGTGAGGCCTGCGACAAGGCTTGTTGTGACGTGGGCGACACCACGGTTTGCCGTACGTACAGTGGTTCGCGAATCGTACGTGCTGTACGCAATGTGTTCATGTCACCTCTGCAAGCCACCAGCGGGTTGTTACATTCACTGTGCTGTTTAAAAGAAAGTAATTATTGAAAGATTTGCTATCCTGAGTTGTGACAATAGCATTGGAGGGGTAGTTGTGAATGGTGATTCCATCCACCTGTCTCGTCTCGATTATAATTTCGGCATTACTCGCAAATCGTTACACACCTAATTAATATGACACTTTAATGAAATCATGAGCTGATGGCTGATTTCACTCGTTCTTTTCTCCGCTAACGCCCCCCCAATCCACCGACCCTCACCCGGCAGATTGATGAGTATTACGTGGGCCCGATCCCGCCGAAGGAGGTGACCTTCGCGAAGCTCAACGACAACATCAAGGAGCACTTCCTAACGGACATGTGCAAGAAGTTTGGCGACATCGACGCCATGGAGATCCTGCACCATCCCAAGACGAGGAAGCACATGGGCCTGGCCAAGGTGATCTTCACCACGGTGAAGGCGGCCAAGGAGGCTGTGGAGAAGCTGCACAACACGTCTGTGATGGGAAACCTCATGCACGTGTTGCTCGACAACGGAGGTGAGGGGGCGGTGTGGTATGCTGCAGCGTGCAGTGGAGGAATGAATGAGAGATAGTTCCTTTCACTTGCTGGATCGTGGTGACTAAAATGCGATGCATAAAAGTCATCGACAAGGGATTTCCTTTTCGCCTTTTCAGAATGTTGTGGCAACTGCCCAAGTGCTGTTAGTGAGCACCTAGGAAGGCTAGCACAGCACACGAGGTGTGGCCAGAACCATGATGTTTATACACCACACCAGGTTGTCCTTCCCCGCACTTCCGATAAGCATGGTTAGCTATCTACGGTGTGAAAGAAGTTCAACATGCATACTGAGAGGGAGGCCCAGGACTGGTGCAGATAATGGCCACTGGTGTTGGCCGTGAGCGGGAATCAAACTCCGGTCGTTGGGTTCGTAGCGCAACGCACTAACCGCTGCACAACCACTCCCCACAAACAAACATTTTGTCTATGCACACACTCAAACACAAACACTTAAATATACATTCACTCCCACGTGCACACTGTCATTCACTCTCATTCACTCAAATATGCATTCACTAAAACTCACTCATTCAAACATGTGCAAACATACACTCACCTCCATGCACATTCAATCAAAGACGCACACCCACATTCACTCAATAACACACACTCAATCAATCAATCAAACACACTCATTTAAACGAACTCATACTCATAGATGCTTAAATACATGCACTCCAACACACATACTTAAACACACACTCAACCAAACACTAGGCCACGATCATCCCTTCTAGACATGATGCATGCCTGTCAACCCCTTATTAGCGCCCACCTTGTTACAGACCAATTCAGACCATATTGGTCACCTCGAGCCCTTGTAAATCTCAGCGTTCGTCCTACAAAGTCCCATCACAAGGGAGAAACACAAACAAATAGACAAAACATTATTTTTGCCCGTATTGAACGGCTGTATGCCATATGGACCTGAAAAGAATTTCCCTGTACAAGAATACGGGTAAACCGTATGGGTTAACAGGTATGCATGATGCCTCCTACCCAAATCTACTCAACTTTATAACAGTCAAGAACATCGACATACTCGAATCAAAACACATCGATCTTTACACGTGCAATTTTCTGAATGCATGTAAGTAGAAATGGACGGAGTTTAATCAATGTATCAGTGCATCGTTAAACTCGCTGATAGCCATTCTTGTGTCGAAGAGCTTTCCAGCTTAATGAGGAGCTTGCGCTCTTTAATCCTCACGGGACGCCGATGTTCGCATCACACAGGCCGGTCAATTCCACGACACAATTTCTCCATTTGTCCACAACAGGCCACCTCGCGCTCAAAACTCCGCACGGATAGATTCTAGAATCCCTTGCCATACTGTGATCTCATGGCAGCTGCACGGTCCTGGACTGCCAATGAGTTAAACTGGACTTTATGTGAAGTGGCCTTATCCTTTCTGCGAGACACAAACCTATATATGTGGAGGCCTGGAAACTGGTGTGTGTTTTGTATTTGGAGCGTGTAAAATGAGCTGGCACCCTTCCTTAATGATATGTTTGCCTGGGGACGTAACGACGCGTCACATTCATCGATTCAAATAAATTCGTATGGGTGTGCTACACGCATCCATTGGTGCTCGCGAGGATCCATTGTTTTCGATCGATTGTATTGTCACCTGCAATTGGTTAGCGTCACCCCTCCATCCACGGGAGGCGCTGCTGCATTCACCGCAACGTCAACAAAAACGTTGATTGAATTTACTCGCAGCCTTGAACCGTGACGATTAATTGAATCGCCGGGGTCGGCGGGCGATTATATTTTTCACCCTGGCTAGGGATCCACAAATCCCTCTCACCATAAGTTTGCTGCAAAATTTACCAGGGTTGTCAGGTAATTTGAAAATCTGAATCCATCTCAAATAATTACAGGATTTTGAATCCCCTGCAATACACTCCGTATATTTGAATTGAAGAACTTCGCTCCTTACGCAGTGTGATTCGATACATATGTGATGAGCTCAAGAACCAATTTTAATTGGTGAATCTATTCATCGTCACACCCTTAATCACCGGCATACTCTGGCGAAATGCTAGAATGCACGGGCCGGAGGGAAGAGAGGTTGGCAGTTGCCAAATTATTTCCCTTTTTAGCATCGCGTGCCGGTTGAGACAGGAGGCGCTTGCTGTGCTCATACATTTCTCTCACACGCAAATGTTTAGCGTCATAGGCTGTCAGGGCAAGTACTGCTGGCAAGCATGTGGCACATGAGAAAGGCCGATGTGGCCGATACCATTCCACAGCCGCCTTTGTCTCCCAAGTAGTGATGTTCAATGATAATAATGAGGATAGAAACAGACTTGTCGATTGCGTCGTCACAAGGGCCCTTAAATCACCGCACCAGCTGTTCATGTAAAGCTGAGTCGCCCTAGGGGAGGTCCAGCACCTATTCAGACTACGCTTGCCACTCGAAGTTTCAAGTTTCACGTTTGTTTTGTTGAACCAGGTGAGAACCCAATGGGCGACGATAGAGTCTCACCTGCAAGAGTTGCCCGGGGCATTAGTCTGCCAGTTGGGGGCGATGATTACGACTGTGTAATCTCAATTGAGTAACTTGCGGCATCATTTTCGGACTTGGCAAATTTGTATCCTCACGCCGGCACACAATGGCCCGCTCTTGCGAATGACATCAGGGGCATCTCTAATGTCAACTGTGAAGCAGACGCAACAATCGTTCTGGTTGTTGTGCCCGTAGTAATAACCAGGGCGGCCGCCGGATTCGACCCGTGAACCTCCGCAACAAATAAGCGGCGAATGCGCCGCCGCTCGGTCACGTCGCCGCACCACTGAAGTTTGCCGTGGTGGCAATAATCGATGTCAGGTCATTGGGTTCGTAGCGCGGCGAATTACGCTACGTCACCGTACCCCACACCGCGCACAAGTCAAGACTAATTAAATGCAGCCTTAAGTCTTAACAGACTGTTGAGGCACCACCGATTAGCGCGGTTGGCTACATAGGTTGCGAATGAAGGTCAACATGCATACGTACGTTAGCGAACACCTGTGAAGGCTAATACGGCGAATTAATGGGGTGATGTGTGGTGAGCGCCAAGTTTGCTGGGACACGCAGAGACAGCGAAGTGTTTGCCTCGTTTGCGTAAATTAGCATGGCGGCACGGACGCAGCGTGTGCGTCTCCCAACTTGGGTTACCCGCGACGAACAGACATCAGCGGGCCCCAGACAATGTCGTGTAATCTGAGAACAACTGTGCTGTTTGCCGGAAAATCGGCCCCTCAGTTAAGTCCCCCTTCCCCTACCTGACCAACGAGCTTGGATGTACTTTTAATTCGTACGGTTTTGGTTAATGGCGAACTTTTAAGTTGAAAAGTAAAAATTGCTTTCCTTGCCGCAGCATTTTGCGCCGCGCGAGTTGTCTGTGATGTTAACACATGAGCGTGCAATTGCTGTGGGGTGCTGTGGCGATGCGCCGGTTTTTACGCACTCCTCGGCGAGCCCTGTTGCGCTCAGAATGAACGAGTGAGTGTGCGGGAGTGTGTGCTTCTGAATAACTGCCTGTGTGAGTGTTTGTGTGTTTGAATGAAGTGTGCAAAGCAGCTTTGCGGTTTTCAGTGTGCACGTATGATCAGGTCAGGTGGCTCAGCGGTAGAGCGAGAGGCTCGTAATCGGAAAGTTCAGATCATCATTGGGGTTTAACTGAGCCTATCATCATCCGTCCGGGGTCGATAAAATTAGTACCACATAGTGGGGAAGTCAATAGTAGTCGTCATATGAAGAGTCCCACCCCATGCCATAGGAATTCAGAATTTCCACCACTGGCTCAGGCCTGTAAACAGGAGATGAGCCCCATCTTTTTTGCCCAGCTGTGGCAGCTGTGACTGACCATCCCGCGATGACCCAGCTGTGGCAGCGGTGAGTGACCGCCACCGTTTTGTTGTCGTTTTGCTCAGGGGAGATGCGGGGGAAGCTCTACGATCTCCTGCTTAGCGGGAAGTTCACGCCGCAGACGCTGCCGGTGGAGAAACTCACAGAGGAGGGGCCTGCCGACACGTGCCAGGTGAGGTTGGCTCTCCTGTATTTACTGTTCGTGTTGTTGTTGTCGTTGTAATTCCCTCTTCTCTAAACTTGTTTTATGGTGACCAGAGGCCTTGGAGGTCAGAGCGCTGAGCTGGCACTGCTGAAATCCCAAGTTCAAATCCAGACAGACACCGGTAAAACCCCAGGGTCTCAAGCGCAGTGAGTCGATGGTCTCAGCCCAACCACCAATGACCAAGCAAAAAAATAGCCATCACATTAAATTTGGTTGTGCACTTTAATTGTCTAAATTCCAGCAGTGTAAATAACATTACTCTCAGCGATAGGACTGGTGGGAAAAGAGCTGCCCCTACTGTATGGACCAAAGGTCACTTGAGGTCTCGGTGGTAGCTCTGTGATATTTGTTTCCCTGGGTCGTTGTCTAGCACGAAGGGGTGCATCATGCTCATAGCACAATTGGGATAACATCTGGGACAAAGACATTTCTTTCTTGAAACCCATTTCACCCGGTCTACACTGCGAGCTCACGACAGTAACTCCTTTACGTTTGTGCGTGCCGCTGTTGCCGCCGCTGCCATCTCAGCCCTGTGACCCGCGCCGCCGGACGTTGAGCGAGAACGGCTGCTACCAGGGCGCTGCGTCGGCGAGCCTGGCGTCGGCCGACACGCCCTACTCCACCGACACGGCCTACTCGAGCGGTCTGCGCGACACCCCGGCCTCCTCCTCGGTACTGCCGCCGACGCCGCTGTCGTCGGCGACGCAGCACGGCACGCCGGGCTCCGTCGACTCGCTATCGTACGGCTCGATGCACAGCGCCGGCACCCCGGCCTCTCTCGAGCCGCCGCAGACGCCCACCGCCTCTTCTTCCTCCTCGTCGTCGGCCGCCCCTCTTCACGAGGCGGCCTACCTCCCGACGGCGAAGGAGGGTGGGCGGCGCACCGCAACCGGCGCGACTCAGAGGTTCTTCCCGGCGGAGGGGTACGCCGGCCAGGGCCTCGAGCACAAGTCGTTCGCGGCGCCGCCCGAGACGACGGCGTGGCCACAGCCACTGTTGCCGTCGCCGTCGGCGTTACACGGGTCGGCCCACCACGGCCGCCCCAGCGGGTTCCCCAATCATCCGCCCCCCCTGCTGCCTCCCCCGCCAACGACAACCTACACAGGATACACGGGCTCGTCGGCGACAACCCCGGCAGTGCCGGCGGCAGCGGCGGTGACCGCCGCAGCCGCTCCGCCGCCTTCCGCGCCGTGGACGGGAGCGTACGGCGAGCCGGAGCGGCCAAAGTCGCCCCCCGGCGAGGGACCGCCCCGGCACGGGGAAGGGAGTGATGGCTCGTTTGTAACGGCCAAGGCAGCGGTGGCGGCTGACTCGCTGTCGCTTTCTCGGGAGAGCGGAGTGAAGGTGAGGAGTGATGGCGGTTTGCGTCTGTAGAATTGTCTAAAGGCTCGTCTTAGACTCACCTCGATGACACCTTTACACGTTTACAGTCTTTTCCATTCAAAAATGTACCACCTTCCCGAGAGAGCTATGATTAAAATGAATATATTTGTTGTACACTTTTCCAATTAATGTAGAAAGCATAAATGCATTCGCTCTGGCCGTCCATCTGTTATGTCGTCCAATACGAAGAAAACATTGGTATAAATTAGTGTTGATACAACATTATCGCTGTGGGAAACTGTCGAGAATTGCTAAATTTAAAAACTACTTCTCAAATTGAGCCAACCGGGTAAAGCCATGTCGCAAACGTCACCCCCTGCCATGAAACTGCTGCGGACCTGAGCCCCGCCGTGATAGTTTTGCATCGTAAGAATGGCGCCAATATCAAACGCACCCGTGTTATTTGATTCGGGGCCGCTTTGTTTCGCGCTCTCTCTCTCTCTTGCCGAGAAGACTTCCCGCCGCACGCCGTCGCCCGTGCCCTCCGCCTCCTCCACGCCGCCCCCCTCCTCGAGCCTGCCCGGCGAGAGTCCCCCCGGCTCGGCGCAGCCATGCAGCCTCGACTCGCGCATCGAGATGCTGCTCAAGGAGCAGAGGGCGAAGTTCCCCACCTTTCTCATGGACGACCACGTCCCCAGCGGCGAGAGGGAGGCGACGCGGGGACGGAGGAGGCCTCCGTCCCCGCCCACGCCGCCCACGCCCATCTCCACCATCTACGGCTTTGAGCTGGAGGAGATCTCGCCGACGCCGTTGTCTTTCTCCGACGAGTCGGACATTGGTGATGAGGTGGATGACAGTCGCGACGAGAGGAGCTCGGTGAGGATGGATCGATTCGTAACCCCTCCCTCGCAGCTGAAAAGCGATTTCGATGAATTGTCGCGATTTGGGCACGGGTTGTGATTTGATTGATAGCATCGATCCTGTATGTTTTTATTTTTCACCGTATCATTTGTATTGTTACTCACATCTATGGTCTTGTGAGTGCAGTGTTTTTTTCACTTCATTTGGCTAAATGTGACATTGTGTATGTTGAAATTCTTTCGCACCGTATGTAGCCAATCGTGCTAATCGGAGGTGCGGGGGAAGTACAACAAACTAAACAGAAAAAGCATTCATAGATATACTTATTCACATTTTGGCGATTTAATGAATTGTGATTTAAGATTAGAATCAATACTTTTTGTCCCATTTGTCTAACCTTATTTGTATGGTTTATTTTTTGTTCGGCTACCACTGAGTTGTAATTGGCTGACGTTCTATGCCTAGTGCTTATTTTCCGCCTGGTCTGCCCAGAAAATATTTCGGCACCTGGGACGCCACATTCAGTATACATCTGTGGCTACCCAATTACGAGCCACCTACTCCAGTCCAGCGACTCGAAAAGTATTCAGTGAGAAATGAACCCCTGACAGTGCCCAAGTAAAAGTACAGGTCACAATTATACTAACGATTGCCAATGTCTTCTTTAAAGTGTCTGCGACGTACGTCCGAAATCGTGTAGTTGCCCTCGCGCGTCGCGCCGACCAAACGAATGAAACGACACTGACTGAGCGCCACGTCGCCGCCTTTTCCCGCAGAGCTCAACGATCCTCAAGGGCGTGGAAGCGATGGTGTCGACGCTTCGCAAGGACAGCGAGCTGAGGCCCTCGAAGCCGGACGTGTTCAGCCCGGACACGCGCCTCTCGTTCAGCTCCGAGAGCGGCGGCGCCCACACGCCCAGGGCCGAGCAGCAGCAGCAGCAACCTCAGCAGCCGACGACGACGCCGACGTCGTCTTCGTCGCGGCCGAGCAGCAGGACCCAGACGCCCAAACAGGACGTTTGGCCGCAGACGCCGAAGCAGGACAGCTGCCCCGCGACGCCCAGCAAGAGCCACGGTGGCGCCAAGCCCGACAGCCGCCCCTCCACGCCGAGCAGGCTGCCGCCCCTGCCGGCTAGGTCGGACGGCGAGGGCAGGCTGCCATCGGAGTGCGCCACGCCCATCATGGACGCCGAGGACAGCAGGGGGGCAGACGTGGAGATGGTGGAGGTGCCCAGCGAGGTAACGCTCCGCGACGGAGGCGGCGACGCTCGCCTGTGGCGCGAGGGTCGGTGGGTCGTGTGGGTTTGTGCGCGGTTACTGGGGCCGAGGCAGTGGCGGGATGCGGAGGGAGAAAGGAGGGGAGGGGTAGAAGAGGGCCTGCAGGGTAGTAGCGTGACATGAGAGACGAGAGGGCAGAGCGAGTCAATGGTGGATCTTGAAAGATCGTGAGTGTGACCTCTAAATGTACCTACGATTGGATTGGGAGCCAGTAGAGGGATCTGAGTGTCAGGTGCGAGTCAGGAGCCTGGCAGTGGCATTTATTTTTGTATTTCTCATGACCATTGTTCACGTTGCAAAATGTTTGGTGGTTAATTGGCCTTGTGTTCTCGTTGATCTCCGCAGCCTCCACCTCCCAAAGAGCTGTCGGACGACGACATGGACATCTCAGATAATGAGACGGGGCAGTCCCCGTCCATCTCCGCACCCATCGAAGTTAACTCCCCCGTACCCACCTCGGTGGCCCACCACCCACCCACGTCCATCCCCCCCACGGGGCCGCCCCCCATCAACCTGCCCCCCCCGCCGATCCCCCCGCCCCCCCACCCGCCCCCGCCGGGATTCCCCCCCTCCATCCCGCCCCCCTTTTCCATGCCGCCCCTTCCGCCCCCTCCCTGCGTTCCGCCGCCCCCTCCTCTGCCAACGCTGGTGCCGCCCCCTCTGCCGCCTCCGCCTCCGCCGCCGCCTCCTCCGCCGCCGTCCTCCGTTCTGAGGCCTCCGCTGCCGCCCCCGCCGGGGCTGCCGATGCCCCCGCTGCCCCCGCCGCTGCCCCCGCCCCACTCAGCCATGCCACCGCTGCTGCCCCACTTCCACTATGGCATGCCCAACCAGGCGGAGCTGGTGCGGCACTGGTTCCGCAGCACCGCGCCGGGGGCGCCCATGTCCTTCCAGATGCAGACGCAGATGCTGAGCCGCATACACATGATGCAGCGCTACTCGGCCAATTCGGCGGGGATGCCGGGCCAGCCCGCGCCGGGCCAGCCCGCGCCCCACGCTCCGTACCCTTACCCGTACCCGCTTCCCAGGCCTTCTCACGCCGGTGGCGCCGGCGGTCCCGGCGGCGTCGGCATGGGCGGAATGGGTCACTTGCCGGGGCCGCCAATGTCTGGCGGCACCGCGCCGCCCTTCCCGTCGGCGCAGCTCTACCCCAAGCTGCCGCTTCCTCTGCCTCTGCCGCTGCCGCTGCCGCCGGTGACGTTCAATCCGGCGGTTCCCCCGCCCGGGTACAGGCCGCCCCCCAAGAAGAAGGACGACCCCCACCAGGCAACGATCGATGGCGTGCTGGAGGCCGTGATGACCGAGCTGAAGAACATCATGATCCGGGACGTGAGGAAGCGAATGGTGGAAGGTCTCGCCTTCAAGACCTTTGACCACTGGTGGGAAAAGCAGGAGAGGAATTTCAAGGTGAGGTGCTTGAATGTAGCTCGCCGGGATGGGGAGTTTATTTTCTTTTCAGGTTCGTCACCGTTGTCATCTTCGTCAGCTCAGTGGGCCTTACCTAGTAAAATAAAAATAGTTTAGTTTGTAGTAATAGGTTTTACCCTTTTAACTGGCACAAAAAATGACACCTTTATTCAAGGCATCATGTTTGCAATAACCACAACACAAGCAGTCAAAATGCAAACAAAAGAGACAACTCTGATAATAATATGCACTGTCCTTGAATTTGATTGGTCCACACCCGAGACGGCTATTCTTAGAGCCCTTTAGTCTCCACTGGTGTTGGACCAGAAGACGCCAAAAGGCGTACAACTCAAAAACAGCGCACTATCAGAGTATTGAGGGCTCGGGGTGAGCATTTACATTATGAGACCTCCTTTGCCAGTAACACGGACCACGGCACTGTTATCCCCTTATGCTTGGGGGGTGGGGGGTTACTGGTTCTCTGATTTCCTGCCACCTGAAGACGAACGCTTGTTAATTAGCTTGGGAAAAATATTCTTACAGCAGGCAGTTAACTTGACAATGTAAGTTTACACAGCCAATATGCCATTTGGTTCATAATTGAATTTTGAGTTTGCCACTTAATTATAACTTGGCCAAACTCAAAACACCATTATGAATCGTGCGACTCTATAATTTAATTGGCCAAACCTCTATTGTGGTGTAAACATAAAATTACTAATTAATTCTTCCCCACGTAAATCAACACATTCATCTTCTTTGGTTCTTTCGGTAAAGGCACGTAGAATGAGAATAAAATAATAAATTGATAAAATAAAATAACAATAATATTCTCACGACGTTTCGGCCACAACACAAGCGGCCTTCATCAGGTGAAGAGGACGAGACTATCTGGAGGACAGTGCTGGAGTGAATCCTTGCAGTAACGAAAGCTTTAAATCGAAATTCAACACATTCATCTCTTATTTGTCAACCGTTCATTCAATATAAATAATTCTCAACCTTTATTTATATTTAGCGAATTTAAATACCGGACGCACCCGTAAAGACAATGTCCAAGCGAGTGTCGCACCCGTGTCACAACTGTGCTGAGAACCAACCGCTCGTTCTTGTCTCTCTCTCTCTTTCCTGCGTCCGCCGCGCAGACGCCCTGCAAGGAGGAGGAGGTCGGCAAGTCGGAGGAGGTCGCCAAGCCGGAGGACGCCGGCGGAAAGAGCGACGAGCCGGGCAAAGCGGCGGAGCCCATCTCGGCGTTGCTGTGCGGGCCCTCGCCCTTCGAGAGCTGGGGGAAGGGCTCGGTGCTGGGCGTCGACGGCCTTGGCTTCGGCATGGGCCTGCGTGGCGCGCTGAGGTTGCCCTCCTTCAAGGTGACTCTCAGTCCCAGGCCAAAGGGATGACTCGCCCTCGTGACGTTGCTTGGAGCGGACGTTGTTGTGGAGTCCTCCTGTAACTTCCCACTGCTGGGCGAAGGCCTCCCCCCCACCCCCTCGCTCTCTTCCATTACTTTCTTTCCTCAGCTGCTGCTGTCCAATAGCGGCCTCCAAACTCTCTGTGGTGCCGTCTCGCTCCTCCCTTCCCTTCCCCTGTCTTCCTCTGCTTCTCTTCCCTTCTGCCGGTCTCCCCTCCAGAGTGAATCTTCCGTCTCTCATCGGTCGTTCTGATCACGTTGTGCTGCTCCATTTCCACGACCATTTTTATTGTAACTTGACAGCAGCATCGTCAGTGACCACCGACCGGTTCCTTCCCTTCTTCCTATGTCCCCAGGTGAAACGGAAAGAGCCCCCGGAGCCAGCTGCCGTGTCGGAGCAGAAGAGGGCGCGCGTGAGCCCCTCGTGCGAGCTGGAGGAGGAAGACGATGAAGGTTTCCACCAATAATATTTCATTATACTTCGCCTGTATTTTAGCATCGGCGTGGCCTTAACACGTTGCATACCGGCACATCTCCACCACTGTCAATAGCACAATGGACGACCGCCTTTGTGTGTGTGTGCTTTTGTGTGCGTGTGTGTGCTATTGTGTGCGCATGTGTGTGCGCGTGTGTGCATGTGTGCGTGCGCGCGTGTGCGTGCGCGTGTGTGTGCGTGTGTGTGCGCGTGCATGTGCACGTGTGTGTGTGCGCGCGCGAGCAGAGGAGAGGATGAGCGACGCCTCCGAGGCCGAGGGGCAGCCGGTTGGACGCGTGCGGAAGCACAGGGTGGCCCGGCCGCTGGAGCTCGACAGCGAAGGGGAGGAAGAGGAGGAGGAGGAGAAGAAGGTGGGGATTCGCCATGTGGTCGCCCCATCCAAATGGCGATCCACCCTGCATTGCCGTCGTCACACACGAAGGGCGCTCCACGCCGTGGAAATAGTTGATCAATCTGTCGATCATTAGTGCGATAAAGGAAATTGTGTTAGCAGCATACGGTTGGAGACCGGGGGAGAGATGGAAGGATGTGGTGGAATGAGATATGAGGATAGTGCATTGCACAGAATAGAAGTTCATGGAGAAAGAAAATTTGATCAGATGACCCTATGCCGTCATCGGATTTAGGGTCAAAAAACAACAGTCCTTTTCAGATAAAGCTTCACTTTACACTGATTCTATTCCGCCCTTTTTTCCCAGGAGCAAGAGATGTCAGTGGAGGAGGAGGACGAGGAAGAGGAGGAAGAGGAGGAGGAGGAGGAAGAAGATGATGATGATGATGTGGAAGAGAAGGAAGAGGCAGCGGCGGATTTGGCGGAGGTGTTGGAAGAGGAACGCTCTGACGTGGAGAAGAAGGCGCGAGCAGTCGACGTGAAGATGGAATCGGATGGTAACGAGGCCGGCCGGACCACAGAGACGATTCAAACAGTTGATTCGCAAAATCGAGTTTAAACTGCGTAATGTATGCACGTTTTCTGCTGACGATAGCAAAGGGGATCGGGCACGCTCGGGGCCGCTGGGTTCAACACGAATACAAAACCGCCCTTAACGCATTTCTTTCTTATTAACTCATTCAACAGGCGCTCAGACGGCCAGCGAGGTCTCCTCAAAGTCCGGCACGGAGTCGACCTCCGCGTCGGGCTCGGAGTCGCAGTCGGAGTCGCGTTCTGGGTCGGAGACGCAGTCGGAATCGGAGCCGGAGTCTGAGCTGGAGACGGCGAGTCGCGTGTCTCCATCGGACGCCCGCCCCGCGGACAAGGGCTCGTTGTCCATCTCCTCGTCCTCCTCGTCCTCCTCGTCGTCGTCCTCCTCGTCGTCCTCCTCCTCCTCTTCCTCCTCGGAGTACGAGAGCAGCTCTTCGTCGTCCTCATCGTCCGAGTCGGAGTCGGAGGACGAGGAGCAGAGCGCTCGGCGCGAGACGAGAGCACGGGCGAGCGCCGGTGCCGTGGCGGCGGCGCTGGCGCGCGACGACGAGGACTACACGTTCGACGCCGACGACGAGGGCGACGAGGTGCCGACGGCAGGTATGGGTTGCCCCCTCTCGCTCCGCCGTCCCCGCCCGCCCATGAAGTGTTCACCGGCTCCCCCCCCCCGCCAGCAGGCTGGTGCTGGCCACGTCGTCGCTGGCAGTCTCGTCGGCCTGTGCGGTTGGCGTCGGTGACTGAGGTTTGTTTGCCGGGTTTAGTGAGATCGGCGGTCGTGCCGAGACAGCTTCAGGTCGTGCAGGTCAAAGTTTGGTTGGGATTTGGGATCCAAAACGTACGCTCTGTAGACTTAAATTGGCCCCATCGACTAACGTGTCCTGCAAACTTACAATGAACCCGTTAACAAGGCGCCCGTGGACTGCTGTAGAACCCTTAGATTAATATCGGTCTTAACTAACGTTGAAGCCATACGAACAGAACCCATAGAATAACATAGGACCCATCGACTAATATTGAACCCATAGATGATCACCAAAACCCATAGACTAACATCACGTGCCGATACTGTTCGCAGACGTGCCGGCGTTCTGCGAGCACAAGAGTGAGCCGGGTTCCCCCGTGGCGGCATTGCCGCCGCCGCCGCCGCCGCTTGCCGTTCCGGCCGCTCCGCCGGGCCGGCCGGTTGCACCGTTCGGCGTGGGGCCAGCCACGCCACCTGGCGCCCCGCCGCGCTCGGACGAGAGCGACCTGGAGACGGCCGAGTGCGACGACGACGACGAGGAGGAGGAGGAGGAGGACGTGCCTCGGACGCCCGGCAGGGACCCGCCGCCGCAGTCGGCGTTCTCCGACGTCGACTTCCCCGAGTCGCGGGGGCCGCGGCTCTCCTCGTCGGAGGCGGACTCCTGCGGCGGCGGCGGCGGCGGCGGCGTCGTCGCATGGAAGACTGCGGCACAGAGGCCGCCACCGACGGTGCCGCACGGCTTTGCCGTGCCGCAGAGGGTATCTCCGACGGCGCGGACGTCGCTGTCGGACTCCGTCACTCCCACGTCGCTCCTGGGGTCCCTGTCGGGGTCGACGTTGCTCCCTCCGCGGTCGCCAAATCTTCACCTCAACATCCCCGTGACGCCCGGCAGGGACATGGGCTTTGTGTCGCCATTTGCCGAGGCTTTGCCGCGCAGCCCGGCCGCCGGCGACGGCGGGAGCCAGCGGCAGGTACTCGCATCGGCCGACTTTGGGCCACTGCCCGGCAAGGAGTTTCCTTCATTTCAGAATTCGCGGACCTTTTCCGGCAAGGATGACGACTCTGCGATGGACACCTCCTTGCCCCCACTCGACGGCAAGGAGACGTCGAGCAGCCAGAAGAGGGCCGAGAGTCTCTTCAGGAGGGGCGAGATCGAGTACGACATCTCATCGGACGACGACGTCCCGGAGCACAACGGGGCCGTGTCGGCCATACTCTCCTTCCTGTCGGAGGACGAAGCGCTGGAGGAGAGTCGTCCCTCGCCCGAGCCGCCGGTAGACGAGAGGGAGCGGTCTGAGATGAAGGACGACGTCGCTTCGCCGCGGGCCTCGTCCCCCGCCGTGACCCCCGATGACATCTGCAAGCCGAGGTCCGAGGCCAAAGTCACCGACGTTTGCGAGGAATCGAAGAGGTCGACGTCGGACAAGATCAAGCTGCGGCCCGTGGTGATGCTGCACTCGAGGGACTGGGAGAAGCTCAAGCAGTTCCGCTACGTGGATGCAGACCGGACGGAGAAGGTGGTGACGCTGAAGCTCTCGGCGCAGCAGTCGGCCTTGCAGGCGGAGCTCGGCAAAAACCTGCGGTACAAGGCTGACTCCGGCACCGCCGCCGACGTCGCCGCCGAGCTGCTCGCCGAGATCAAGCAGAAGGGCGCGCGGGAGTCGCAGGCCGACGGAGCGACACGGCCGTCGGAGGACGAGCGGGAGGACGGAGAGCTCGGGCGCCCGGCGGAGAAGATGGAAGTGGAGGTCGTGTGCAAGCGAGAAGTGGAGGCGCCGGAGGAGACCACGGAGGAGAAGGAGGAGGCGGAGGAGGAGGAACGGGAGGAGGACCGTCGCGTCATCGGCGAGCTGCGCCTGCGAGCGGCCGCGTTCACCGAGAGCCCCAAGCCGGCAGAGACCAAGTTCAGATGGAAGCGCAGGGGAGTTGTTCCCATGGAGACGGTGCCCGCGCCGTGCGTCACAAGCGAAGCCGCCACCTCGTCTCCCCTCCTCCCGGGGCCCCCCTCGTCCGCCGAGGAGACGCCGTCCTCCCGGGACGGCGGGGAGCTCGTAGCCCGGGACTCGGAGTCTCGACCGATAGGGACCTCGATCGAGACCGAGTCGAGGCTCACTCCGCCGGACGAGGAGATGTCGCCGCCGCGCGACGAGGTGGAGGGTGACGCCTCGGCGGCGTCGCCTGATGAGGAGGAGGTGCGGGATTCCAGGACTCGTGACGCGGAGGACTTGAGGCGTTCGGGCGCGGCCGAGGAAATGGTTGTTCAAGCCAAGCTCGTTGAGAAGGTGCACGACCTGAAAGAGGAGCTGGTGTCGGTGGAAGAAGAGGCGTTGAAAGAAGAGGTCTTGAAAAGGAAGGTTCCAAAGGAAGAGGTGTTGAAAGACGACGTCGATGTCACCAAAAATGACGACGTCATCAAAAAGAGGACGGTGAAGGATGAGGTGTTGAAAGAGGACGTAATGAGAAAGAAGGCACTGAAGCAAGAGGCCTTGAAAGACGACGTTAACATGAGGACAGTTCAAGAGGAGGTTTTGAAAGAGGAGGTCTTGATAAAGGCACTGAAAGATGAGGTTTTAACAGACGACGCTGTCATAAAGAGGACGGTGAAGGAAGAGTTACCGAAAGACGACATTGTGACAAAGAAGGTGCTGAAAGAAGAGGAGTTGAAGGAGGAGGAGAGTGAAGACCGGCTCTCCGAGACGAACAAATCCGAGGTCCTGCCTGAGGCCTTCCTGCCAAAACCCCTCGCTCAGGAGCCGCCCCACTCAGAAGCTCCCAAGGTGGACGTGAGAACGTCCACGCCGCAGCCCGGCGCCACGCCGATCGCCGCCGCCACCGCCGCCGCCGTCCCCGTCCCCGTCCCCGACGCGCTCACGCCGATCGGCGTTTGCGGCGGCGGCGTCAGCAGCGGCAGCGACAGGGGCGGCGTCGAGACGGCGCTGGCCGAGGGCCTCCTCGCGGAGGCGGCGGCGGCGGCGGCCGCGCGGCCCAAGGTGGGTCGGAAGGGCCGGCGGCGCGGCCTGCGGCCGTCCGAGGGCCCGGCGGCGCGCATCCCCACGCCGCCGCCCTCGCCGCCCGACTACCACTTCCGCCCGCGCAGCCAGTTCGAGGAGATGGCGATCCTCTACGACATCTGGGACATGGGCATCGACGCGGAGGACGTGGAGTACCTGCGCACGACCTACGCGAGCCTCCTGACGCAGGATAACAGCATGGAGTGGCTCAACGACACCCACTGGGTCCCTCACCCTCATATCCTTCCCGTGATAGCACCGCGCACCCGCACCCCCGCACGCGCCGCGACACTGACTGAAGCAAAGGTCCCTTCTTTAGCCTTGAATGGACCTAAGTGCCGCCAGCGAGCACCTATTAAGGCTGGCATGGCCAGACACCTTATATGGGGGGGGGGTCTCCGGCCAGTTCAGAAATCGCTTGCTACTCAGGATGGCCGTGGCTGGAAATCGGATTTGGATGATCAGGTTCGCAGTGCTAACCACTGTACCACCGTTCCCCAACCCCCCACCCCAATGCACGATCACACAAAGATAAAGATCCCCCGTATAGCCTTAGCAGTCTGTTGAGGCAAGTGCTGTTTGCGAGCACCTATGAAGGCCGGCACGGCACACGAGGGTGGTCAGTACCACGCCCGGCGATCTTTATCTTCCTCGTGATGTTTTACACACAGCACCAGGTCCTCATTTGAGGCCGAGTCGACCTAGGGGAGGCTCGGGACCGGTTCAGATAATCGTCACTAATGTTGGCCATGAGCTAGAATCGAACTCGTGTCACCGGGCTCGTAGTGCAACACACAAATACACCACCACCACCAGATGCAAACACGTGAACACATGGACGCACGGACACACAAACGTGAGTACAGCAGCAACAAAACAAAGGAAAAAAACCATCAATATTGTAGGGAATTAGTACATGGCCGTCGAGCAGCATTGCACAACTAACCGAAGAGGCATTTTACGAGGTCAAGGGAAAAACCACGGGTGGCTATGGGTCAGCACAAACACGTGGGTGCGCGGTGACGACCGCGCGCGCACAATTCGCCTCGCTGCGCTCCTTGACGGCGCCGCACACACGCACATCCCGCGCGCCGAGCGCCCTGGCGGGCGCGGGCACCGCAAGAAGGTGGCGGGCGACGGGCTGCGCGAGCACGCGACGGGCTGCGCCCGCAGCGAGGGCTACTACAAGATCAGCATGAAGGAGAAGGCGCACTACCTGGCCGAGCGGCTCGTCGCTCTGGACGAGCAGCTTCCGGCCGACACGCAGGTGACCCCCGACGGCCGCCCGTCCCCCCCCCCCCCCCCGCGCGCGCTTCGCTCGTTCCGCGCGCACGGCACCGCGCTTTGCTCACGAGACCGTCCTCTCGCCGGCGGGCGCCACGGTGGCGAGATGTTAACCACTCGGGCCTCGTATGCGGGAGGTCGTGGGTTCGATCCTGACCCCCGACACCTGCTGCGTATTTGGACTCTCTCGCCATTTTTTCGCGTGGATTTTTCACCGGGTCCTCCAGTTTCCCCCCCCCCCACATTTATAATCAACGTGCGTTTGAGGTATTTGGCTGCAATACATTTCCAGACGATAAGCCACTTCACTGAGCTGTCAGTTGTGGCCAGGCCACTTCTGAAAAAGAGTTACACAGCTCAGTTTGTCTTACCCGGTAATTTTTTTAATATACAGGGTGTTTTAAAAAGATAGACCCGATTTTAAATCGCTATCTCTGCAACCACAAACCGCCCATGAATGCAACTCTTACCACTTGAAAGGGCGGGGCATAGAGTTTCAAATAATGACCGCTAGACGCCTCTCCCAGCGCACAAACAGTCCCTATCCTCAGTTATTCGCGAGACGGTGACCCCCGCAACACAAGGGGCGTTTTGCGTTCTGTAGTTCGGCAAGACTGAATCCGTAATTGCGGTGCGGCATGCGTTTCTACGGCGTTTTTGGCATTGATCCGCCAATGTCAAAGAGCATTCGTCGTTGGTACCAACAATTTAAGGAAACAGGCTGTTTATGAAAGGGGAAGAGCACAGGGCGATCACGAAGAAGACACTTTGAGAGGTATTTGGGACGAATTCAACTATCGTCTCAAAGTTGTCCTTACAGCAGGTGGAGGGCACATAGAGCATTTAAAAAATGGTTAGTAAAGCTTGATAACTCATTAAACCGTGTGTAGCTTTTTGTGTAATTGTAACATGTTGCGATTGTGAAATATACTGCTTTGAATTTGGGTCCAACTTTTTAAAACACTCTGTATATCTTGATTTGAAGCTTTCGTGACTGCAGGAATTCATACTCTTTGGTTCTTTCGGTAAAGTCACGTAGTAGGTATACAATAAATTAAATTAAATCACGACGTTTCGGGCGCAATACAAGCGTCCGTCATCAGGTGGGAAAGAATCAAAGAGTATGGACCCTGTGTATATAGTTTATAGTTTCACTCTGCTCATTCTGCATGCAGGGGCACGCTTTGCCAATGAGACCATCCTGGTCCCATGGGCCCTCACCGGTGAATTAACAAACACGCGAGCCGGCCTGACCCCGATGATTTGTTGTGGTTCCACCCTGACCACGGCGATGTTTTGTTGTGGTTCCGGCCTCATCCTGGTGTCGTTCTGTCGGTCGTCTCGCTTGCAGGGCATGAGCATCCCGGCCCAGCCGTCTCTGTCGACGCGCGCCGGCTCGGAGCGGCGCTCGGAGCAGAGGAGGCTGTTGGCGTCGTTCGGCAGTGGGGGTCCGGCTGACAGCGACCTCTTCAAGTTCAACCAGCTCAAGGTGCGCACCGCTCACGATTACAGGGCGACGCCTGTCCGTGTACGTGAACGCGCTGCGCTACGAACCCGGCGACCCGAGTTCGGATTTCCACTCACGGCCAATTACGATGGCAGAGATTACCTGAACTAACCCTGGGCCTCCCCTGGGTAGAATCGGCTTTAAATGAGAACCTGGGGCGATGCGTAAACATCATCACTGGAGAGACGAAGGGGACGACCAGGCATGGTACTGGCCACCCCATCCCTCTTTTGCCATGCAAGCCTTTATCGGTGCTCTCTAATAGCACTTGATGCTGCAACAGTCTCTTAAAGGCTGTACGGGAGATCTTTGCCTTTGTGTGTGTACGCATGTTCCTGTACGCATGTGTGGGAATGTTTATGGCTGACTTAGGCCTACTTGCAGGCCATTCCTGCATACACCTCGCGCTGCACAGAGACAGCTGTCACTGAGGGGGGGGGGGGTCTCCTTGGCTTGACCGTAGCAAGCAGTCGGAATGGCTGAGATGAGATGTTAGGCGCTCATGAGACACAGAGGAAATTAAGCAAGGGCTCCGTATGACCCTTTGTGTGTGTGTGCGCGTCTTTGTCTCCAGTTCCGCAAGAAGAAGCTCAAGTTCACCAAGAGCGACATCCACGACTGGGGCCTCTTCGCCTTGGAGCCGATCGCGGCGGACGAGATGGTGATCGAGTACGTCGGCGAGGGCATCCGGCAGGTGGGTTAACCCCCCCGCCCCTCCCACCTCCCCACCCACCCCAACTCGGCCTCTGACGCTCGGAACTCCAGGGACGACGGAAGCGTGCCCGTTAGCTTTGCCGCAGGGACTGAGGGAATTCACCGGCGTAGATTGTCGGGGCAGCCTTGCAGGGAGACCCCCGGCGCGGATACCGCGTTGCCATGGGACGGCAGACTCGGATTTGGCTTGGCCTGCTCAAATTGCGTGCCGAACTCGAGTCGGACGGACAGCTTGATTTGATTGAGGGAAAAGTCGTGTTTTTTTTTCCTGTGATGTGCGTGCCAAGTTACCATAGTTGGGGTTGCCCTTTTGCCAGCATTACTTTTGCTAGAAATGCTTGCGAGTCGGTGGACAAGCAACTGAAGATGCTGTAGGCGCCGTAATTGTGAGAACGGTAAAAAAAAACCGTGAATTCATCGAATAGCTGAGGGGAGGCCGAACTGAGACGTGCCGAGTAGCGGTCGGTGGATCGTGCGCACGGTCGTGGAAGCGCAAGTAAAGGGAGCGTCTTGAGTCACACAAACCATCCCCAAGCGTGCAGCGGCCGCGTGGATGCACCGTGCCGTACGTTGAACTTCTTCCGCACCGCACGTAGCCAACCGTGATAATCGGAGGTGTGCGGCGGCAGGGCGGATGGACACCAAATTAAACACGTGAAGCGGTTCTAAAGAAAACGAGTGGTTGTGCGGCGTGAGAAAACGCTTGCGCATTTGGCCTGGCCACGCCATCGCGTGTTCACCTCCGGGGGACAGGCGTACGTCAGGGGACGGGGGGTGGGTGTGGCAGGGGGCGATGTTCGTCGAGGGGTGACGGTTTGGTAGGAGGGTGGGACGTGCGGGGGGGGGGGAGGGAGTCGGTCCTTCTTCCGTGCCCCTGATGTAGATGCAGAGCAACAACTACAATTTCACGTTCGGGTGGTCGTGCCGGATAACCTCGTCAGGAGTAGTGGCGCGTATCGCTGTGATGTCTCCTTCGTATTTGTGGATCGGTGGTGGGTGGTGGGTGGTGGGTGGTGGTGGTGGTGGTGGGGGAGGGCGGGTCCTGATCGTTGTGCTACGTGGCACGGCAGGTCATCGCGGACATGCGTGAGCGGCACTACGAGAAGGAGGGCATCGGCAGCAGCTACATGTTCCGCGTGGATCACGACCACATCATCGACGCCACCAAGTGCGGCAACCTGGCGCGGTTCATCAACCACAGCTGCAACGTGAGTGGCGGCGAAAGAGGTTTCCGGTGTTCGTGCGTCTGCAGATTTTATGGGGTGCTGGATGACAAATATAAATGTATTTAATTTGATCTTGAAAATAACATCCGGTCATTTGGGCTGCCAAAAATGTGTATCAAAACTTTTTCATATTTTTTGTTAAATTTTTGAAGCTAGGCCTACAAGTGTTTAGATCTGGAGGTTTTGAAGGGGCGCAGCTTCTTGATTTTTAAACACTTGTGTCTGATCCGTTGGCCTCAGTGTAATTTTTGCATCTAATTGTCATGCGGTGTAAATATCCGTTTCACACGTGATTGTAAGCATGGCTAGTGTTGCGTAATAATTGGTTTCATTACAGGCTTTCTAATTAACCCCCCTTATTAACTATCCACGTCACGTATCAAAGGCTTTGTTGGTCGGTTCGTCTGGAGGCGAGCCGAGTGAAGGTGGCGCTTTCACTCGTGCGCGCAAAACCCAGAGCCCGCGGCGTCGCGCCCCCTGGCTGGAAGTGACGACCGCCGCTCACCTCTCGTTCGCCTTGTTTCCCCCATCTTCAGCCCAACTGCTACGCCAAGATCATCACCGTGGACTCGCACAAGAAGATCGTCATCTACTCCAAGCAGGCCATCGCCGTCAACGAGGAGATCACCTACGACTACAAATTCCCGATCGAGGACGAGAAGATCCCCTGTCTCTGCGGTGCCGAAAACTGCCGGGGAACCCTGAATTAGCGACGCCGGCTCATCGTCCGTTCGCCCGCTCGCGCGCCCACTCGTTCACCCGACCAGCTCGACCGATCTCACCTCCTCGAATGGGGCAGGCCGTGCGGGCGAGCGGGCGAGCGGACGGGCTGCGTTCGCTGGGTCGGTCAGGCAAAGAGGACAGGAGCTGTGCTTGTTGTGGGCCGATGGTCAGCACGAGCAGCTGGCGCGTCGCGTAAAAGGCCGTGAAGGAGCAGAGCAATTCTCGAGGGCAATGGTTACCGGCAATCTTCTCCAGCAAACGCGTTCACGGTGGCAACTTGGTACGCCATTTGGTATGGAGGGGTATAGAGTTCTACCCTAGCCAATGAAAACAGAGTTTTCTTGAAAGTAGCAAAACATACCAACACAGAACAGTAAAATCGACATGTGGAATAACATACCAAGAAACAGTAAATCCATTATTAAAAAGTGCGTTTGATGAAGAGTGATTGCTTTACAGAGCTCATCACCTCGGGTAACCATATGATGCCATGTGACGCCTGTCTGTGATCCAATTGGCAGTCGCCCATGGGCAGGGCAGTGGTCAGATTTGTCCAGATTTTGAACAACTGCATTGTTGACGACAGAAAGTCGTTGAGTAACTTCACTGCCAGCGACGATTCCCACCGACGATTGCCCTAAAATGACCGTGGAACGCCACGGCCTTGACGACGACGCGAAGGGCCCGACCGGTCTCAGCGACGACGACGACGACGACGACGTGGAGCCGGCACCGCCGAGGAGGCCGATTGTTTATTTTCACATTGCTGCTACTGGTGAACTTTTTGAAATGCGTGCAAAAGCAAAAAAAAAAATGTAAATAGTATATTTTTGTGACGGGAGAAGCACTCGCAAAAGGAGGGAGAAGGAACTCTTTTTGTTTGCCCAATGCCGGCGAGGAGGAGGAGGAGGAGGACGACATGCCAGCGTTTAATTATGCGCACACGTTTTTACACGCCCAATCCCCCGTCCCGTTCTGCGTTTTCCGCGGAGCTCTCGTCGTCATTCGCGCCCGGTTCGAGGAGCTCGTTCACGTGTTTTTCTTTCCCCGGGTTGACTTGACATGGGGGGGGGGGGGCACGGGGTGCCAGGGGATGGGGGTGGGGTGACAGCACCGCTACACCCCCCCCCCCACCCCTCCCTCCAAGCCCCCCCAACCTCTACCACGGTTTACAGCGGCGAACAGCGAGCACGTTTTTATTTTGTTTTTTTTCCCCGGGAAGATCGCAAAACTGGGAAAACCATTTTTTGGAGAAAAAGTTTGTTGCTTGAATATTTAGTTTTAGTTTTTTGCGAAGCGTGACTTTGCGGATATGACGCGTCCCCGTCGCCACCGAGAATCTGTCCCTCCCTTACCGGCGCGGCGCAGGGACTTGCCGTTCCGGCTGGCTCGGACGCCCGGGCGTTCTTCGTGTGCGAGGGTTGTGGATTTATGAGTTTGTTGTTGCAAGTGACTGCGTTAGGGGTTTTGTTGGGGGGAGCTATGACGACGACGACGATGTTTTCTAAGTCACTTTCATTTGGGGTGGGGGGATGTTTGCGTATCTTGTATTTTAATCGCTTTGGGCTGTACATAAGCCACCCGGGGGGCCAAGTCCGCCGTGCGACGGCGACCGCACCGTGTACATAGCGCGCGGCGTGGACTCCCACCGGAGCTTTTGGCTCTTTCTCCGTGCACTCTTTGTAATTCTGTCCTGTATATAGTTTTGTAATTATGAGCGCTGGCGAATGGAAAAACGTGTGAGTACTGTTATATGGGGCGTTTGTGATTTTTTTTTTGACATTATGCCGAATTTTTGGTTTGGCGGTGACGTAGGGGAGCACGCTCGGGTTCTCTCGGAGCAGCGCGTCGTTGGGGTGATACGGGAGTGAAGTTTGCTTGCCCGGGCGAAGTCACTTGTGCGGCCACGGTTGCTGGTCGCCGGCACAGGTGAGCGACCGGATGGTTGTGTGGCCCGGCGTGACGCCATCAGGATCGGAGAAGTGCTCGCACTGCACGCTCGGACCTGGATTTGACACCGGAGTGGATCGTCGGGATTTTAAATGTTTACCGCGTATCAAGCTCAGGAGCGGGAAAGCAGGAGCAACGATTTCTCTAAACACTGTGCCCATGATGCACCGCCGGTAATTTTAGGATGGTCGTCGTCTGCGAATGAATGGTTTGCTGGAAAAGGCTTGATCACCCCACATTCATATAACCCATGCTAAACTTCTTTTTGAACAGGTTACATGCCATTCTCATAGTTTTGATTGTGTCGTGTACGCACACACGGTCGCACAATGACCCGAATCACATTGTTTATCCGCTTAATTAACTTACTGTGAACAAAAGCCTCCCACTACTTTCTGGACAGATCTTGTGGGTTGTCGAGTTTTTTCAGCACATCCCTCGATTTGCAATGATAAATGTGGTTGTCCAAACCCGGACAAGTATCATCGCTGCTCCCCTTCGCGGGCAACTGCTATGTCAACGTCCTATCAGGTCACCGGCAAGAGGTGAAATGACGATCCGAGGTTGTGCTCTCACACATCAAATGCATTCTTTCTAAAAACGTTTTTTTTATTATTGGCCGGAAAGAAATGTGTTTCTCTGCCCTTGTCGATGCCACCACGTTAACAAATGCTTCACCGATGGCAAACGCCCGAGTTTAATCCTTGGCGTTTATTGCACTGGCCCAATCGGCCTTCGCGCGCTCGGTGACGGTTGTCGAATTGGCTGCCGGGTTGTGGAAACATCGGTCCGAGTCTTTTGGCATTGCCGGCGATCGGCAAGGCGGTTCGAACTGTGAAGTTTCTCAGGGGGTGTGCGGCGGCGCGCGAGGAGCGATCGGTCCCTCGGGAGTTGTGGAGCGGTGTCGCGGCACGGAGGGAATGTTGCCGCTCTGCACGACGAGCAATTCGGTTGGGATGAGAGCGGTGTTTTTAGTTGGTCTCCGCGTCAGGTCTGTTTCGAGTCTTGTCGACGGCAGCCTGTGGAATTTTAGTCTGGATTTTATTTCGTCGGCATTTTTTTTTCTGACGAGATGCTAATCCACCGACGCATTTTTGTTTTTAACTCCACGCATGTCGTCTTCGACTCGACTAAGACTAAACTCATTCACGCACTGATCAAAACTCAACACTTGGACGAGAGCGAGCGAGTGCGGTTAAGTTTGTTTTTGCGTTTGTGAACGCGTCTGGATAAGAACGCGCGTGCATCCATCACTCGGTCTGGAGGAGAGGCGATTCTAACCCGCAGGGGTCGACGACCAAAATGACGAGGAGATTTTTTTTTTTAGACTTCCGAATTCGGTAGGAAACAAACTCCCCCCCCACCCCGTCCCTCAATATTTCAAGTCGCAATGCACGTGATGAAATACGAGACGGGTGACCCTTAATAAATAATGTCACGAAGCAAGTCCATTTTGTGAGCCGCAGGTTTTGCGACTCCTGTTCCAACTCGTACCTTGAATTTTTTTTCCCGTCTCGAAATGCGTCACCAGCTGAAATTCGTTTTCTGAAACCATTTTCTGTTGCCCTAAACCCAGCCTCAACTATTTTTTTTTAAAACGATTGTTTTCCATTATATATTGTGCCTGTTTTGGTGCTAGACATATTTAAAGTGCGTGAATATTTATTCATTTTTTTCTGAACAGTCGTGGCTGTAATGTACAGAGTTGTATATATCATGTAAGTTAAAATTTAACCCCTTCTCTGCCAGGACTGCGCCTGGAGATGGATGCCGAGCGGTGATTTTGGTTCATTGTTAAGCACTCTTGCGCTGTGTACATAATGTTTATAGCCGGACGAATCTACCCACCCCTACATTGTCTAACTGTACCACAGTATGTTTTATAATATAAAGAATTAAAGCCTTCAAAGGTCTTTTTTAAAAAATATGTAACAAAGATACCTGCTGTGTTGGTGTGTATCAGTCATTTTGGCAGTGGCCTTATATTCATGATACAGTGAGGGGTAAAACGTATTTGATCCCCTGCTGATTTTGTACGTTTGCCCACTGACAAAGAAATGATCAGTCTATAATTTTAATGGTAGGTTTATTTGAACAGTGAGAGACAGAATAACAACAAAAAAATCCAGAAAAACGCATGCCAAAAATGTTATAAATTGATTTACATGAGGGAAATAAGTATTTGACCCCTCTGCAAAACATGACTTAGTACTTGGTGGCAAAACCCTTGTTGGCAATCACAGAGGTCAGACGTTTCTTGTAGTTGGCCACCAGGTTCGCACACATCTCAGGAGGGATTTTGTCCCACTCTTCTTTGCAGATCTTCTCCAAGTCATTAATGTTTCGAGGTTGACGTTTGGCAACTCGAACCTTCAGCTCCCTCCACAGATTTTCTTTGGGATTAAGGTCTGGAGACTTGCTAGGCCACTCCAGGACCTTAATGTGCTTCTTCTTGAGCCACTCCTTTGTTGCCTTGGCCGTGTGTTTTGGGTCATTGTCATGCTGGAATACCCATCCACGACCCATTTTCAATGCCCTGGCTGAGGGAAGGAGGTTCTCACCCAAGATTTCACACTACATGGCCCCGTCCATCGTCCCTTTGATGCGGTGAAGTTGTCCTGTCCCCTTAGCAGAAAAACACCCCCAAAGCATGTTTCCACCTCCATGTTTGACGGTGGGGATGGTGTTCTTGGGGTCATAGGCAGCATTCCTCCTCCAAACACGGCGAGTTGAGTTGATGCCAAAGAGCTCCATTTTGGTCTCGTCTTACCACAACACTTTCACGCAGTTGTCCTCTGAATCATTCAGATGTTCACTGGCAAACTTCAGACGGGCATGTATATGTGACAATTGTTTTACCAATTGTTTTCTTGGTGACTATGGTCCCAGCTGCCTTAAGATCATTGATAAGATCCTCCCGTGTAGTTCTTGGCTGATTCCTCACCGTTATGATCATTGCAACTCCAGGAGGTGAGATCTTGCATGGAGCCTCAAGCCGAGGAAGATTGACAGTTCTTTTGTGTTTTTTTTCCCATTTGCGAATGATCGCACCAACTATTGTCACCTTTTTCACCAAGCTGCTTGGCAATGGTCTTGTAGCCCATTCCAGCCTTGTGTAGGTCTACAATCTTGTCCCTGACATCCTTGGAGAGCTCTTTGGTCTTGGCCATGGTGGCGAGTTTGGAATCTGATTGATTGCTTCTGTGGACAGGTGTCTTTTATACAGGTAACAAGCTGAGATTAGGAGCACTCCCTTTAAGAGTGTGCTCCTAATCTCAGCTCGTTACCTGTATAAAAGACACTTGGGAGCCAGAAATCTTTCTGATTGAGAGGGGGTCAAATACTTATTTCCCTCATTAAAATGCAAATCAATTTATAACATTTTTGACATGCATTTTTCTGGATTTTTTTGTTGTTATTCTGTCTCTCACTGTTCAAATAAACCTACCATTAAAATGATAGACTGATTATTTCTTTGTCAGTTGGGCAAGCGTACAAAAATCAGCAGGGGATCAAATACTTTTTTCCCTCATTGTCGGTGCGAAAGTGCAGAGCTCTCTCATGGAGCCAAGCCTATGTCATCTCCCAGAGCTCTCTTGCGGAGCTCTGTCATGGAGCCAGAGCTCCCTCGTGGAGCCAGAGCTCTGTCGTGGAGCCAGAGAATCTCACGGAGCTGAGTCTCCCCTCTCTTGAGCTAGAGCTTTGTCGTGGATAAAGGCTGTCGCACGATTGGGATGCAACCGACGCATCTGCCACTCATCTCGGGTCAGGCCACACCACGGCGCCTGGTTCTGTGCCGTGACTTCCTGCCAGCGAGCCATCGACTCTCCGCGTGGCCTCGAAGTGCACGTGGCATTGCCACAAGCGCCGTGGGGACATCACCGCCACTTGGTGGCGAATGGTGGGTTGTTATTGTGTGTGTGTGTGCGCGTAGTAATAATATCGATGTTATACACAACACGTGGCCCCTAATGCGCAACGCATGTACCGGAACTCGCATTACCAGCCAGAGGTGAGCTCTCGGCTCATCGAGTGAATTATTGTCGCCTTTTGGGGCCATCCATTCAGTACGTACGCATGGAGGGGGGGGGGGGGTTTAACCCAAATGCGCACGCTTGCGTATGGGGGGGGGGGGTCTACTGACTGTACGCATAGGAAACGGAGGAGGGGGGGGGGGGGTGGAGCCTCGATAATAATGTCTACATTGGCCTTCAAATTAGATAGTCCGGCGTTGGACTATATTTGTTTGCTTAAACACATCAAAATGCGCAACTTTAAATATAGACAACACGTTCTACTTAATCAAATATACTTTTTAATAAATGTTTTCTCCTACAACATCAGAGTGCAGCGCCACATTAAACACGCACTACAATGACAATAGTTTAAAGCGATTTGAAGCATGTTTTATTTTTTTGGAGGGGGGGCAGAGCTTTGTGACGTCATATTTGAGGAGGGGGGGGTCTGACTTTTTGTGACGCCGTGTGACGAAGGGGGGGGGGGGGGTTAAAAATCGTCAAAAATCGCGTGACGTCATTTATGGACGGCGGCCCTAAGATCAGAGAACGCCAAAAGGCGAACAGGACGAAGACAATGGGCACGTATCAGACTATCATCATTCTCATCATCATCGTCGTCGCCGTGGCAACAATGTTCAAAGTCAATCGTCATCCAACACGTGAATAAATTTCGATTTGAAGCTTTCGTGACTGCAAGGATTCATCATCTTTGGTTCTTTCGGTAAAGTCACCACGTAGAATGAGAATAAAGTAAGAAAATAACACAATAAAAGTCACATATTCTCATTCTACGTGACTTTACCGAAAGAACCAAAGAAGATGTGAACACGGGAACACTTTGCAAAGTACTCCTCTTGAGTAATTCACGGAATGAGGGCGAAACCGGTCCGGAGTTTTTGTTGCGGTGTTTCCCCACCCCCCACCGAGCGAGGAGGAGAGTGTTTCTGTGGGAGAGTGTTTCAAGGGATAAGAGGGTGGAGAGGGTGGGGAGGGAGGGAGAGTGGATCGCGGTTGTACCGCTGAGCTCAAGTGTCACGGGTTCGCTCCCGGTGTCTGGCCACGTGACGACCCCCCGAGTCTCCACGGCGACGCGAGGCCATCAACTTCCCTGTGGTCGCAGTGGGGGAGTGCGCGGGGCTGCGAGTCGACGAGCTCACGGGTTCAAACCCCGGCTGCTATATCGTTTAATATTTTTTTAACGTCATTTTATTTACAACGATCAAAAGCAAAAAAAGATTCATGGCCAAGAAATCGTGTTACTCTCTCTCTCTCTCTTCTTCTCTCCGGCTTTTATTTTGTACGACAAATACATACGTGGAATTGTTACCAGGGAGACACCTGGAAGGGGACAAGGCGGTCGAGACCTGAACATATTTTTTCAGTTTGCCACCAGGGGGCGCTGCCCTAGCGGCAAACTGCCCCACGGGGCGCTGTTCGTTGAAGCATTTACCATCAAACCCTCGTTGTCGTGCAAAACAACCACTTTACATCGGTTTCTTCAACGATTTTAAGCCGCGAGCGGTGGTTTGATGCACAATTGCGGCGAAATGCAGCAAACAGCGCTCGCAAACGTACCGTGAAACGGTGAAATCGCCAAATGCGCTGGCAGATGGCATTGAGATTTGGAGCAAAATCCAGTTTCGAACCAGCATCCAAAGCAAGATCACCATCCCAGCGCTCCGCATTCATCAACGCAACGTTGAAGGCCTGTCCAGCGCGAAATGTGAGCTTTTGACAAAAATAACTAAACAAAGAACGCAGAAGATCGATGTTCTCGCCATCAAAAAAAAAACGCACCTCAAACCCTAACCATGCCGGACGAAGATGCCATCGATCCCGCGTGACGATAGCCGGGCGATAACCACGGGCGCAGCGGCACGGCGTGGCCACGACAGACGTCCGGCCCGAGCCTCACAAGCCGAGCTGAATGGAATCCCGGCAAAGCGCTCGCCGTGTTACCGTCACAACGAGAGTGGGCAAGCCGGCCACGGTGGTCGTGCACAAGAACTCCGGCCGGGAGTCACGGCCAGCAAACGTCCCCCCACCAACACCGCTCACCACCCACAGCCGTCTCCCCAGCGCGTGCACCCCACACAGAACCGAACCCCGTGTGGGTCTCCGTGTAAAGTCGAAGTGCCCCCCCCCCCTACTCTTTGGTTCTATTCGGTAAAGTCACGTAGGTAAAAAAATAAAACAACAAAAATCACGACGTTTCGGCCACAACACAAGTGGCCTTCATGAAGGTAAAGTTACCTACGTGACTTTACCGAATATAACCAAAAAGAGTATGGATCCTTGCAGTCACGAAAGCTTCAAATCTAGAATCGTAGTGCCCTCTGTGAGTCTATGGGTCCGTGTGTGAGTCTCTATGTGTGAGTCTACAGGTCTCAGTGTGTGAGTCTACGGGTCTCAGTGTGTGAGTCTACCGGTCTCAGTGTGTGAGTCTACGGGTCTCAGTGTGTGAGTCTACCGGTCTCAGTGTGTGAGTCTACGGGTCTCAGTGTGTTAGTCTACGGGGTCTCAGTGTGTGAGTCTACGGGGTCTCAGTGTGTGAGTCTACGAGTCTCAGTGTGTGAGTCTACGGGGTCTCAGTGTGTGAGTCTACGGGTCTCAGTGTGTGAGTCTACGGGTCTCTGTGTGAATGAATGTCGCCATAAAGTATTTTTTTTGACGCACCGCGGATCTATCGCGCGGCTCCCGGTTGGATCCCACTACCCGGCGCACGCAGCGAGAGAGCGAGGGAGCCACCACACTCACAATACCTGGGGACAGCCGACCCGTGACCTGACACCCCGGGCAGTGCCGCATGAAGCTAGTGCGCGCGGGGTCTGTAGAATATGCTATAAAGGGGTCCTAGATATAAAAAAGACACGTAAATATGAAATAAAAAAACCCCACTATTTTTTTACTTGCACAGTAAA